TCAACAATACAAAGGGACTGGACTATCCAAAGTCCACTAAACGGTACTTCAAACAAATACCGAGGGCATCTGTTATGCACTGATACCGAGGGCCCCTACCCCATGACAAGGGACACAACTGGCTAAGTCAAACTCTACAACTTTTCAAGTGAATGCCGAGGGCACATACTCCTCATCGGCTTTCTTTACAACAACAGGATTTCACACTTTTTCTAAGTCCACACTTTTGGAAAATGACAACAATCGGAGGCTAATATATCACCCGACAACCGAAGGCATCTATTACAAATCATCAAAGGCCAACCAAGGGGGCTTATTCCAAAATATTTGCCCCTCGGACAGACTCCTCACTGACCGAAGGTTCAACATCTACGACACACTTTGAAATTTTTCTAAGTCCCACATATTTGGCCCTCGGTCAAATACTCATACAACACAAGGGCCTCACGATCACCCGGAGGGATCTACATCCGGAAGCTCAACATCAATTTACGCTTAGAAAATATTCTAAGTCCTAAATGAGTAGCCCCCGGGCATCTCGCAAAAGTGACGCAGAGTCAGAGGGCACCTATCACCCGAAGGCGACACAAGGAAGCAGCACTTAGAAAAAAATTCTAAGTCCTAAAGATTGGGCCCCCGGCCCAACCAATATTACAGCTAAGGGAATATGATAGCCGAAGGCTATGCGATACAACAGCACTTAGAAAATTTTCTAAGTCCTACATATTTTTCCCTCGGTCAACTACTCATACATCAAGAAGGGATGCCATCGCCCGAAGGCTCCCAAGGGAAAAGCTACACTTAGAAATCTTTCTGAGTCCTACATATTTCACCCTCATCTCAACTTATGAAGGGACCTAATAGCCGAAGGCTACCTATCAATCAAAGGCTACAGTACACAAGGAATCAACGCTGAGGAAAATTTTCTAAGTCCTAAAGATTGGCCCCCCGGCCTATTCAACATTTCAGTAGGGGCTCCACAGTAGCCGAAGGCTACATGACACACTACATTTACAAAAAAATTCTAAGTCCCAATAACATGGCCTTCGGCCATCACTAAACCACCATACATTCATACGTGAGGAAAGCATAAAGGAGAAGGCATACATTCAAACAGAAGGCGCATTCAAATGTGAAAAGCCCGGAGGCAGCATGCATTCACCAAGAACAGAAGTAAGTGCAAAGTTACAAACAGGCCGAAGCCGAAGGATCAATGGTGTTCATTACAAAAATTTGTTCAGAAATTTCTAAGTACAAAATCATTCAACAACCTCAACAGCATCATTCCTCGGGGCGTCCTCTGCAGCCGGCCTCGACGATACCTCCGCTCCGGCCTCAACAACGTCGTCCTCGGCCTCCTTCTTCAGCTCTGTGTCCTCAAGATCGGGCCGTTGTACACCTTCGGGAAGGGATTCACGGACATCAGGCTGCAGGGGAGGAAGGCCATATGCCGAGGGGGCGAAATCCTTTGGCTCAATGCTCAGGTGCCTGGCCATCCTCCGATAGATGAGGGCCTGGGTGAAGAATTCGTCGGCCTCATAATATTCTCTGCCCTTCCGGGCCATCCATTCCCACCCAGGGCCCTCGGCCCATTCATCAACGCGTGCCTCCACAACCGAGGACACCCACACCTTGCGTCCCTCGGCTCTCCAACCCTCAGCGACGAAGGCATCAACGGCCTCCTCCTGAGCTTTGGCGACGGCTAGCGCCTTGGAATCCTCGGCCTCTTTAGCAGCTCTCCTGGCCTCCTCAGCAGCGGCCTCACCATCAGCCTTGTTCCTTTCTGCAGCCTCCAATTTTAGCTTCATTTGCCGAAGCTCCTCTTCTAGCCTGGCCCCCAGATTCACCGCCTCGTTGTTTTTGAGAATATACTCCTTCATTTTGGCATCCTGCTCCGCTTTATGGAGGCGCAATTCTTGAAGCCTCCGGGTCTGTTCGCCGAGGGCTAGACAAGCCTGCAGATCAACAACAAAAACGGTTAAGGCAATCACGCAAAATGATCAAAGGAAAAGAGGAAGAAAGCCGAGTGAACACTTACAGAGAGGGAGGAGCGGAGAATGTGGTCCTCGAGGGCCGCATCATTATAAGCCCCGAGGGCAGCCCTATCCGTCTCAGGGGTTATGCCCCTCAAGATGGCCCCCGGTTCAACAGCGCCGCTGGCCTGAGATGTACCCCTCGGAAGAGAAACATAGAGGACAGGCAACAACTCCTCTGCCCCCGCCGGCGTTCCATCCGATGGCTTCTCCACATGCACCCCGGAGGCGGGGTGCTCATCAGCAATCACGACCGGGGGCTCCTTATCGGTGATATCCCCCTTCTTCGGCTTTTTGGTAGCCGGGGGGGACCCCTTGGCCGCCGCCTTCCTTTTGCTGGCAGCGGCATCGCCCTCGGATTTTTTGAAGAGGGCAGCGACGGGCTTCTGGTTTCCCTGTCCCGACCTCTTCGGGTCCTTGTTCTTCAGCCGCGCAAGGCCCTTCACGTTCACCATTGACACGGGGATACCTGCAAAAATACGACAAAGGATTAGGCCGACGGGTCTACAGCGAAGGGACAATGACATCCAAGCAAAACAAAAAAAAGGACTAAGTACAAAAATCTAAAGCCCTCGGCTTCTACCTCCGGCTCCTCCGAAGGCCTTGTTAAAGAGAGGATACTTTTCGTCGGTCTCCCCTATGAAGCGGTACCTTCGGAACCCGAGGGTGTATAAGTCTTCCTCAAGGGTGCAATCTTTGATCGCCACATTCTTATTCTTCCATTCCGGGAACTTGGCGAGCTTTAGGCCGTCTTTCTCAAGGGCAGCATTCCTGATCTTTTCGTGCCTTCGGAATCGATCGCGCAGTTCCCTCGGTAATGGGTTCTCGTCCAGCTTCACATAACACCAACGTTCCCTCCACCCTTTGTTTGAAGAAGGGGCGTCGGAGAATAGTTTGAAACGGGCGATCTGCTGCAAATTCGTGTATCCCTCGCCGTTTTCGTGCCCCCCTCGGCACAGGTTAAAGCTCTTGAAGAATAGATCCAGGCTGGGCTTCACCCCTCGGGACTTGCAGAGCTGGAGGAACCCCGCGATGTAGGAGTGGCTGTTGGGCGTAAGCTGGCAGGGGACCAAACCAACGAACCTCAGGTACTCCCGAAGGAACGGGTGCAGAGGGAACCTAAGTCCCATAGAAACCGAGAGGATGTGGACGGCGATACACCCCTCGGGCGCCCTGGACAACACGTCGTCAGGACTCGGCTCCACCACTTCGGCCGAGGGCCCCACGTGCAGCTGAGTAACGTACAGATCTGCCTTATCGGCTTTCGACTTAATCTCGAGGGCCTCGGTGTTCAACCAACTGTACCCCTCGGGCATGTCCACTGGCTTTCCTTGATCAACAGCCCTCTCCTTCTTTTTGGTAGCGGCCTTCGCTTTCTTCTTCTTCAACCCGGAGACCGCCCTCAAAGGTGTCGGATCTAGCGGCCTCGAGCTACTTGCTTCCCTAGAACCCCGGGGGGAGAACAGCAACTGTAACCTTCGTACTCTCATTTTGTGTCTCGTCCTCCGCTACTTGCCATGCGAGGGCTAGGTCTTCATCCTCACACTCTTGCTCGAAGCCCTCGGCTTCGACCTCAGCAATAAATTCCTTCTGGACCTCCAGGGCCAGGGCGGCATCACCACCAACCGAGGGCTCGCTCACGGACTCCGCATCAGAAACATGCTCCTCACCAACCGAAGGGTCCCTCGAAATGTTTTGGGAATCACTCTCGGACGACATTTTTATCACGAAATGTGCCTAAGATTCCGAAAGCTTTCTACAGGCTCTAGCACCTAATCTAAGGCCACAGGACGAAACTTACTACGAACTTTGAAGAAGGAGGGACTGACCTTTGAAAGCAGCGGATTCGACCGAAGGCTTGAGTTTCTCTCTCTAGAAATTTTGGCAGAGCTTCGCTAAGGATGTTGGATGCGTAAAGGAGGAATGGCATTGGCTTGGGGTATTTATAGGTTCCCAGATCCGGGCTTGGGCCGAGATCCGGGCCCCCAGCGGCCAAAGCCACCATTACGTATCGTCGTTTCACCCAACCGGTGACGCCCGCCCACGAGCAGCCAACGGCTACACTCCTCGTGTCCTCCTCCTCCAACGGGCATATTCCAATGGCTACTTTCTGGGACCTGGGGGTACGCCCTCGGGCGAACACACCTTCAGCAACTATAAGGCAGCCCCCGAGTTGTCTCCTTCACTTCAACAAAAGGGAACCCCCGGACTCATAGCTGTGGGACCCCTCGGGGATTCACCCCTCAGCTCATTAATTTCCAGGCAGCCCCCGGGGAACGTCACTTCATCAACAAGCACCCCCGGCTACAAAACAAGTGTACCCCTCGGGGTCATCACTATTAAACTTCACACAAACGGATAGCCTCCGGCATACAAGCAACGGGACCCCTTGGGTACCCCCTTCATCAATTAATCAACAAGAAGGAAACTCCCTTTGTCCCCTAGACTGAGGGACCCCCCTTCGGCATCTCAGCAACACGCTTTCGGCAAACAACACAAACGCCCTCGATCTTATGGATTGAGGGACTCTCCCTCGGCACCTCCCAGGATATCAACAAACGTGCCTTCGGCGATGCAACAAACATGCCCTCAGACTATGAGAGCCTTCGGCATCAACATTTCACTTCATTTCAGACCAAGGCTTTAACCTTTTTGATTCATCCTTGGGGGAATTCGGTGCACTCTTTTTCCCTCATTAGGATTTTTTTTCCCACAGGGTTTTTCCTAATGAGGTTTTTAACGAGGCATCCCCCCAAAATGAAACGAAAAGCGTTAACCTTCGGCCACATACAGCAACGGATAATACTCTACTCCTTTTCACCACTTTACAAGTGCCTCAAGGAGTGGGGGACTGGAGAACCTCTCCGGGAAAATCACAAAAATACAAAAATATCAAAAACCCTTACAGATGGCAAAGCAATCCCTCAAGTCCCGACATGTGGGTAACTGAGGGACTGCCTTCGGCAGGGACACGCAAACAACAACTCCTCACCAAACTACAACGGAGCAACATCAAATGGCAGACACAGTTTACTCCTTTTCCCTCAAGTACCTTTCGGCAAAAGGAGTGAGGGACTCCTGATGGAGTATATGACCCGGGAACCCCCGGTCCACAGACTCCCACTACTCCAACAAAAGCCCAACAAACCCAAGAAGCATTGCAAGCCCAAAATTATAACGCCCCAAGCACAAATCAACCCTCAAGGCACACTGGGGTGCCCTCGACCCCCTGACCGAGGGCTCCAAACTATCACAGCATGGATATTTCGAACAAACAGAGGAACTGGGAGAAAACGGCGAAAATAGTAGCCCTCGACATCTGGAGCCCTCGGCATTAGAGGTGCCCTCGGATTATGAAGCCTTCGGCCTGTCACTTTCAGCCGGAGGCACCTCAAACGACAGGATCTCTTCTCCACTTGCGCCTGAATCACCGTACCAAGTACGACGTCACATCCAACCGCCGCATTTAATGCGGCCACATGGGAGCACCAATGCCGTCCCGATTGATGTGACCCCTCAGCCGTCGGATGCTTGACACGTGTCCCCGTCTCGCATTTATTGCTACTATCCGAGTCGGGCCTAGGCCCGGGGGTAGCTTATCACATAATACTTTGATTATTATATGCATAATCACATTTAGTTTATAACGTGAATAAAGACATTATGATATGAAAATATAATAACAATATGCATGTAATTTATGAACACCATCAAAATCTTCATAGGAAAAGTTTCATACATAACTCTTTTATTATTCTCCAACTATGACCTACTACAAGAACATCAATAATGTACTATTTGTTATTGTTTGTGATTAGATCATACTATCATAGTAAAAATGTGTTATATTAACTAGTTGTATAACTAATACTCCGTCTCAAATACTGTTATTTTTACTAAACGTAGATAATTTATAATCATCGCTGCATAAACCCCATTGCCTGGTAAACATTACGAAGAGTGACATTTGCAACGTTTGTTGCGTTCATAGCGCCTTCTGCCAACACTTTATCCAAACAGTCGCTATCAGACATTATTTCATCATATCTAACCTGCAATTTGGTAAAACCCAAGTGATTGAAATTAGAATAATATAACAGCTCTACTAAACAGTTCACTATATTTCTTGAAGAATTATTAATATATTACTAATAAATACATGTACTCCAGATTAAAGAATTATTATTATTATTATTATTATTATTATTATTATATTACAAACAATGTTAAAGACTACCAGATTAATCAATTCTTTCCAGGATAAAAAATTTCTAATTCTCATACCAATCATTACAGTCGGCATAGGAAGTATTATGTATCTAGGATTAAATGGTAATTGGCATGCACATATTTGGAGTGTTTTTGGCTTATCAACCATTTTTTTCACCAAACACGTAATTTTTGTTTTCGCGCTTTGAATTGTGTAATAATAAGAAAAAGTATGGTTGAAGTTACTTTTCTGGGTATATTGACTGAATTTACTGTAGAGGACCATTTTAGCTATTTTTACATATAATTTTTCTTTTTTTTTATTAATAAAAATATTTTAATTTTCTTTTTTCTTTATCAGCAGAATCAGCCGATTTTCGTGTTACCAAACGGGCTCTTGATTTGTATCATTTTGGTACCTCAACTCATCAATGTATGTCACAAATTTCACAATGGTATCTTGTAATGAATAAATTAACATTAATTGACACCATAGTTAATTCCAATGATTTTTGACTAATGTGTAACTGGGATACAATTAATGCCATATTAGGTTGAATGTGATTAGAGTTTGTAGAAATTTATATTGTCATTTTATGATTTTTTTTCATAAATCAACTTCAAGTATACACATTACAAGACTACTGAAATAAATTTCAGTGTGACAGCTTTGACTTGATAATATTTGCACAGAAATCACTTTGGTGTTGTGGAATGTAATATTTAAAGCAGAAAAAACAAATAGTTAAGCATTTCTACCGCATTTTTCGTAAACGACATTTATATACTATTTTCCACGCCTCAAGACTTTCCAATATTTAATCACGGTTTCTTTACCTATAATAAACCTCACAAGGGGAGGGGGGTTTCACCGGGACCTCCTAGGGAATTCATACACAAGCACCTCTGAAATGCCTCATAAGCAAAAAAAAAAATCAACCTGGATAGGATGTAGATGTGCAACTAAAGCATCTGTAAGCAAAGGCTTAAATGCTCCCCAGCTCATATTTTGGCATTCCTCTGTAACTTCCTGGCAATAAAAATGAAATACATATTATAATATTGTTCCAAGAATGTAAAGCCTATTGACCAATCGTAATCTTTTTTTCAAAAAAAGTAACTAAAGAAGCTTGAACTTGATCGTGTAGATACGTAATTAGTCCTTTCTAAAAGCACATTTCTTAATTTCATGCCATGCTAATTTTAAAATCTAGTCCCTCTAAAATTTCGTAACCCTCTCTGTTTAGTATAATGTTATATAAAGCTTTTCCAATCACCTGCTTTGTCTTGCCTGACACAAGCTGATAAATAGAAAGAAGATTGTTGCATTCTGGTCTATCAGGGTTGTCAAATTCCAAGCTGAAATATGTAAGACAATAAAAAGGTAGAAAAGGTTTAAAAAACCGTTTATGTATTGTAAGAATTGGGTGGGGGGGATTAAGCAAATTTGAATAAAAATACGCTCAATTCCCTCTTACATATCAATATAAATCAAAAGGTTCATGAAAGTATGAAACAATAAATTAAGAGAACTGAAAACTAAATTTAGTGTAAAATAAATCTTTTATCTGGAGTTCGTTTAAGTATTTGATACATAACATAAGGAAAACTTACCCATTCAATGAGTCAGTCTTGCATCGTTTTATCTTATTTGCTATTGCCTACAAAAGAAACGACAAATTGTCAAATTACATGACAACAATACATGGCAAAACTCTTATATAAGTATAATACTTTTTGTTTCCAATCCGTGCAAAATATTTTTATGCTTTTCATCCTGGAAATATATACTATTTTCATCTTAGTCCCTGTCTAACTCCGTGCTAGTCAGTGTCTTTTCCAAACATCCCACTTTAGTTTTCTAATAACTTTTTGGATATTAATGGTAGTGATAAAACTAAGTGAAATTTATCGCTCAAATTTTTGTATGTCTCAATGGCTCTGTAAAAAAAATTAAGCATTTTTTGAATGAGTTCAAAAGAAAGACAAAAAACCTTCTAGTCACGTATATTTTGATGTCAAACAGGGTTGTTACTTGTTAGGGTTAGTAAGGGACAAAAAACATAACAACATAAATTACAAAACAATGTGGGGATCTAAAATGAAAACACTATGGTTGCAGAGAGACTAAAACATATTTAAGGCTTTTTATAGCATTTTAATAATGAATAACAATAAAATTCGAAAAATGCCCATGTTCTATCATTCGTGCATGTAAACAAGTTACTCTTAAATACTTTGTATTAAACTTCATTTGAGGTTGATAAACTAATACATTGCAGTTACAGCTAGGGGGCTGTAGGGTCATTCATATTCATTTTATCATTCCTTGTAGAAAATTCAAAATAAAACATAAGTACTTCCAAGTTCCAATTAACTATTTGCATACATTTATATGATCTATTACTTCTTAAATACTCCGTACAAAAAACACATTCTGAACTTGGTGCTAAAAAGAAAAACCATCCTAAAATCTTTTAGTAAGAAGTTCTTGAAACATGCAACTAAATGGGGGTAGCCCCGTGCACATCGGCGTCCTTGCAAGGCGAGAGTCTGGGGAAGGGTGTCACCACAATGGTGTATAAGGGGCAAGCCTTAGTTTGTCATTTTGACAAGAAGCTGATCCCAAAACTTCAACCCGTTACCTCTCAGTCGCACGGCAAAACTGTAACCAGTAACCAGTGCGCCAAGGCTCCCCTTCTCTTCAAACATTCAAATACGTAAAACAATTTCAGTCTAATTAAATGAGGTGTTCATAACAGAATAATAACTAAAGTAGTTCAGAATTTTTATTCCGAGAACTTAACGTGAAAATAGCTATAGAAAATACAAAAGCACCATTATAGAAAGTGTCAAAATCCCCATTTGAAGCACAACTACATTTCATACTGTAACTATTCTGGGTGCATGGTAAAGCAAGTCTGGTAGAACTAGTGGGATTAAAGGTATGTGTTAAAGAAGATTTATGTGTTCATTGACCACAAATGGTTTTCAGTAGTGGGTGATGAGTTACTAATCATGCAGGATTGTATTTAAAACCTATCACATTTTTTTATAGCTTAGAACAACCATATATAGGAGACTAGAGAAGGAAAAAACACCACATGCTAATTCAAAAGATAGTCATTGACTGGAAATTGTGGGTGGTGATCCTTGAAAATGGGAACCCAAACCACAAGACAATGACTGAGGGACCAAAAGGGGTTTTTCTAACTAATTTTCTATTTTGTAGAAGATCGCGATGTTCAAACATATGGAAACAGCATTTATTGAAAGCTTCACAAACAGAAGCTGATAATGAATAGGGAAAAGTACAAAAGAGGTACATGTGGTTTGGGCCGTTTTCAGATAGGGGCACGTGTTTCATTTTTTAACAAAGTGGGACATGTGTTTCAATTCCGTTATCCGTTATCTACCGGAAAAGTGATATTAGCGAATTCGTTTATAAAAAATAATCCAATTAGAGCTGAGAAATCCAAATAGAACTATAGTTTGTTGGTCTCTTTGATGAGGCGCACCTCCCAGTATTTTTCTTTAAATTTTTCGAAGACTTTTGAAAATCGGAGTTAGTTTTTCTAACGGGGTTAGACGCCATGCCCCAGCTGTGATAACAGAATTGAAACACATGTCCACTTTTTAAAAAAAAAATGAAACACGTGCTCCTATCTGAGAACGGCTCAAACCACAAGTATCTTTTTTATACTTTTCCCTAATGAATATATAACAATGAAACTTACATCTTTTGGATCAAGCAAGTTGATACGAGATTGGTCAGAAGGTGCAGACTTTGACATCTAAGAACAAAAATTCATTAGCACCAAAAAAAGGATGTCACTACAAAAGACTAAATATTTCAATATATGATACACAAGGCTTTAGTATGAATATTGTTTGAGGGAGATGATAATAAATTCCAGGTGCAAAGAAAAATAAACTACCCCATGAAAGAACCAGATGTGAAGGGGCTGTCCATATTTATATGTTATTATGAAAAAAGTCGAGACTGTAAGAGAGAGAAAAGTTCATTGTTGACTTAAAACCTTTGAGAGGCCATCAGTAAGGGACATTATTCGAGCTCCAGCAGATGGAATGAGAGGTTCAGGTACCTGCATGGATGAAACAGATCCTGTAACTATTGTGCCAACTATGACCGTGTTTAAGGACAACACAAATATATGAGAAATAATTCACCTTAAATATTGGACCACCTCGCCTGTCACATGGGGATATCATTAATTCTCAAACAAATTCAAGGGTAAAGTAAAATTTAAAATTATAAAAAATGACATGCTCCCCCACCCAAAAGAAAAATAGTCTTATTTGGTCAAGGTACAACTTTCTTATTCTTTTTTTTTACTCCAGGGGTTCTGAGGGAGGGGGTCTGGGGGGCCCTGGAGTAATCAGGGCTGAAACTCACTCCATTGAGTTTTAAACCCTTGTGTGTCTAGCAAGCGGGTTTCGAACTCGAGACCTCCCACTAGGCACGGTAACCTCACAACCAGCTGGGCAGCTGGACTGGATTGCTTGGTTAACAACTTTCTTATTCTAGAAAGGTATAACTGTTGTAATTAAAAAAACCTACTTAACACTTTTAATTGTTGTCAAACTAATTTATCACATGCACCTTGTTAATGTTTTAGCAACTTGCATATAAATTTTGTTTCATTTGATGAAATAGGACTCCCTTTTGCTACAAGAGTTTTTTTTTTTTTGGGGGGGGGGGGGGGGGGGAGAATATATCAATGATTCAAGCCATGCAGGTTAACCAAGCCATTATCCAGTTTTAGCTTGGCTTAGTAATCACAGCAGTATTTTTGTGCCAGAATGTGGAAGACATGTAAACTTACCCTCCCAACTTCTTCCACTTTTTACCTCCATATAAATAGTTAATTCGTTCTGCAAGCTCTCGTGTCAATTCAAGATGTTGCTTCTGATCCTCTCCAACAGGAACGAGATCAGGCTGCAGAAATTGTTTAAATAATTAAATAGGAGAGTTGTGGAACTTAAGATATAATAAAAAAACATAAGATTCAGTGATATCTTCTGCAACGCAACAAATGTTACAAAAAATATTTTCAATATAATCAAGATGTCAAACAAATGAAAGAACAGCTAAACAATGCAATGGATGGGCTAAACGAATTAATACATGGATATTCCACTAAGTTGCAAGTAGAGAGAAATGACCTGGTATAGAAGAATATCAGAAGCCATCAGTACAGGATAGGTTAGAAGGGCAACCCCAACATTTTCATCTCCCTGGGTACAAAAGGGAAAAAAAATCTCATGGGAACTATCAAGAAGAATAACCAAATGAAGGACGATGACATTGTAATCGCAATTAATTTTAATGCACATAATGTTGCAGCAAACTCATTATGACTTAAAAAACCAGGTCTTGGGAGCTAAACTGAGTTCAGTACCACTAGCCACAAGTACATAAATCTTCAAATTCAGTAGAAGCGGTACAGTCTACAAGCCATGTAAATATCTACATAATATATACGATTCTCTAGAGGGGCAAACTTAGATACTTTTTTAACAACTGTGTTGAGCAAATACTAAGAACACCACAATGGGTGTTTTGGATAAGTCTGTCAGGAGTGTCGCATTGATTCCTCTGGGTGTTTTATTGCAGATGAAAGAATATATTCAAGACTTAAAAGTTAAACTTCCTTTTTAAAATTTGCAGATTCATCACCACTATATACTATAGTCATGCCATTACAATATTGATAATGTAAGATAAACAGGCAAATAACGAAACGTGACCAATCATTTCATAAATAATACTCCCTCTGCCCCGAAAAGGTTGGCCAAAGTTGACTTTCACGTAGATTAATAAAGTAAAAACTGTGTGGTTGAAATTTGTGCAGAGGAGAGAGAATTCATTTTAGCCACATGTTCCTTACTCTAAATGGAAATGGCAAATCTTTTTGAGACATCCAAAAAAGGAAATTTGGCCAACCTTTTCGGGACGGAGGGAGTATCAGATCAAGTTATCATATATATGGTTTATCAATATCCTAAAACTTTAACACAAATACGCAAATGGAATGCTTCAAGGTCTTCTTGGCATATTTGTCTCATACAGGGTCATTTGCCAAAAATGGAACCTGAGGATCCTCTATTGAAACTAAACTTTCTGTAACTATTAACATAACTAACTATTATATTAATACATTTATTAATGATATATTCTGAGATTTAAAAAGTTGACCAAAAGGAATGCTCCCATTGCATCTTTCAGCATCAGTAATTTGCCAACATAGAGCATCAGGCTCCACTACGAAAGGGGAGACTTACTCACATTTTTCCTCTTTTTACAGACTGAATATACTTCAATTTATATTTATTTTACAAAAACCTCATTTTGACCTTTGAGTGATGCATGATACATTGTTGGACTTTTACTCCTTTTAGTCCTTTATCATAGCACCTTTGATCTATTCCCATCAATCATTACCTAATCTAGACCAATTTGAGTATGGTTTTACGCATATTCAAAAGGAACATAGTGTTCCCTCTAACTTAAAACAATAATGAGACTGTTTTAATTTTAATAGTGAACCATTTAGCCCTTGGTTTTAACACACTATTCAATATTAGATTATGAGATTTTAAACTAAAAGGGAAGAACTGTTTGGCATGTAGAAGGGAAAGAGTAAATGGAATCAGATAAATAAGGCAGAAAAACGTTGAGATGATCAATAATACATAAGAAAGAGATTACAGAAGCATATTACAATTTACAAGTTTACAACATACCGCCTTCCGTGATTTCTCTTTGAATTGAATCATTTTATTGAGCCAACCAATGGGAGTGGCAGCACTCAGTAGCCACATCAATTCTACATGAGCAGCAACATGCGACTGTACAAAAACTGTAGCCTGCACACACAGTGACATAAATCAGGGATTTGAAAATTGTGGCAGCTGACTCATAAGATGATATGGGCATCCAAAATCCAAATCCTTAGATAACTGAAGATCCAACCTTAGTAGGGTCCACACCGCAAGCTAAATAAAGAGCTGCTGTGTCCTTGGTTGCTTTAAGTAAATGCGGAGCATCATATGGCAAAGTTATCTGCAAAAACCATCAATAAATCCAAAACGCAAGCATACATACCTAGGCTTACTCCCAGAAAAACTAAATACTAGAGCTTGTATGATAATTATCATCATCATTATTATTTTATTACTATTGAATATTGAAAGGAGAGATTCCTTTACATAAATATTAGAAAGGTGGATAAATTATACTCATGTAAAGTTCCTAACAACTACCCAAGTAAAAAACTAATTACCAAAACAAACAAATAAATGATAATAGCCTTTCGGAATTAAGTTAAAAGGTCTACATATAGCATCATGTAAATTTTAGCATCGTGATCTTTTACAAGGGCTTTACATTGACCAACAAAACTTTTAATTATTTTAACAAAGATATTGAAGAGATCATATTGGGCTTGTGAATCTTTTTCTAACAACCCAACATCATTAGTAAACATCAACTTCAGCCTAACCATAACCAACTATTATGATAATTGATTAGGCATTAACCCAATAAAATTATTTAAAGCATAAACGTAAAGGTGATATTGACAATGTTAAGGAATTTCATTTTTTCATATAATATCTCCCTACGCAATCGTGAAACAATGAAAGAAATGTAGTTCCAGGTTCCAACGAAAAATGAAAACTATGCAGTAACAACATATGATAATTAAGAGCGTTGTTTAAGTAAGCATACCGCATGAAGGTCTACAATGAAGAAGAAAGTGTCATGCTTATCCTGCATAGAGCAAATTTGAGAAGAGAGTGACTTAGAGAGTATCAATAAAGTGCAGTATGCAAGATTTATATTAAAAATGTCTCAAATAAGTCCTCTTCCCTCCAACTATCCCCTATTTAGCTATGAGGCACAACTGATTCCTTGACCTTACAGCTAGGCATTCGAACTCAGAAAAAGATGCAATTCAGCCCTTTTTACCTGTTGCCAACAGGTTGCTAATGCTAAACTTATGAAATGGATTATTATTGCTGGTTTGGAATAACCACAACAACAACAACAATACCTTCATTCCTTAGAACCTTGTCATCTTTCCTTTTTTGGAATTTTGGTTATCTAAAATTTTTTGTCACTTTCCGTTTTAAGTAATTATTTGTTGTTCTTGTAAATTAACTCTCCTCTACACAAACCTCACACAATTTTTACTTAATTATTCCACTCAAACTTGGGAAGGAGAGTGTAATAAACAAAATAACATTACTGCATGCTCGTCTTGCCGCCAATGCTTCATCTTCTTCAGCAAAAACCGCCATGCCGGTGCAAGCTCCTTCATCCTTCATAGCCAAGACCGCCCCCACCTTCATAATCGGGAAGAAGATACACAAGTATGGATGTGATGGGAAAACTTGATGATGATAGACTAGGAGGAGAAGTTCGTGAAGAAAAGTTATCATCCACTGCTAGGATTTTAAGACTCCCCTACACCCCACCCCGGTTTTATGTTGAGAATACTTTCGTCTACATACAACTCTGTAATCATTTGACACTTCGAGTGGCAGAATGCATTTCACTTTGATTACATTATATTCTGTAATTCAATAGTGGTGAACGTGGGAGAAAATTTGAGCTTGTGGAGAATGAAAGCAGAATAAGAGTCTAGGATTTTTTTCAAGTAGAGCTTGTTGGCACTTGGCAAAGGTGTGATAATGTCATAGTGATGTGGCCACTGACCTGAAGGTTATATGCTATTATAGCTAATCTGGATACAATTGTTGTTCTTAATCCGTTGGGATGCTTAGTTGTAAGGTCATTATATTAGGGGATCCAACTGCTGAGTCGTGAATAGTTGGAGTGCTTATTTGACCCTTTTCCCTACTAAAAAAACCGCAAAAAGCAGAGTCATACTTCCAAAATAATGGGGTCGGCTAATCATATTAAAAAAGGTTAGAGAAAACGTTCTCATAGTTAAAAAAATCCAAATATAATGAAATGACAACTCTATCCGCTTAAATTATCCTCTAAAATCTGGTGGTAGATGCAAAAGCAAAACATTGTATATGCAAGCATTTCCATATCCATTATGCCATCTGTTTATGTTAACCTCATTATAATAAAAAATGATTGCTATCGATGTTATTGTTAATAATAGTGATTTGAAGCATAGGGTCCTCATAAGCCAAACAATGCATCACACTCTTAAATTGGACACTAAGTCACAGTTGATCACAAAGACATCTATTTGTGGGAGCTTCGGAAAAAGCTTGCTACCCTTATCAGGAGGGGAGAGTTCCGGGTGGAGAATATTTTTACCACTAACCAAACATTTGAAGGCAGCTATGATGAAGATTCACAACCAACAACTACAACTAATGCTAATCCATTCACTATTATTACACAAAACTAAAATCCTTATAGTAGGCATGAACATGAATTCTCAATTAAGTGGATTGCATTTGACACGTTGGTAAAAAACCTGCAACTGGATCCAATTTTTTATGGCACCGAGATAATTCCCAAGGTGTATAGATCCTGTTGGCTGTACACCAGAGACTATTCTCTTCCTGTTACATTTAGCACAACAAAACTACATTTAGTAAATACTTTAGGATTTTCAGTGATTGTACAAAAGAGTGAAATTGTGATTCAGTTCAATTGCATTAGTTGAAATGTAATATGTTTAAATGTAATAATGAAGTCCTAGCTCAATGAGTCAATGACGATATATAATAATGAAGTCCCAGCTCAATGAATCAATGATGATATACAATTAAGTCATTAACTAAAATTCTATATGCATGCATTCATAATATGTTGCAGTTCTATTAACTTCCTAAGTCACAGACTCACAGCCAGCAGGACAAAACCAAACTGATTAGAATTGAATGGGGTAAAGTTCATACTTTTGTTGGAAATGGATTAAAAACGGGCATTCAGAAAATGATAAATCAAATCAACTGAAGACAGTTAGACTTAACCATGTAAAATACATTTTTTATATTCTGCTTATTTAGTTATCAAGTCAAATCCACAGTCAATACATTGTTTCAACATCTTTCAAATACTCTCTAGCCTATTTAGTATCAAGTAAGCCACACTCATTACATTATTTACATAGTTTCAACAATCTTTCATATACTCTCTGTCAAGTCATGGCTACTACCAATAATTGCTAATTACTCCGTAGACTTTAGCAATTCAGGTTTAAGTATGGAGTTATGGACAAGACACGGATTTGTGGCATTACCCCTGGCAAGAAGGCATCATAGTTGACGAATCATAAGGGCTTAAGGCTAAATTTATATGAAATATTTCTCATTAACCTTCAATCCTTCATATATTTGCAGTAGAATTCAAAATGTCATTACTTTACAGAGCTCGGAAGATTCTCGGAAACAGAAGGCTCAGATATAGGGGTGCTGCAAAGGCACCGGAAACTTTGACTGTGGATCTGAGGAACCAATCCTGGTCTTCTTAACCTGTTCCAGGAAAACACATACTCCCTCAGTCCCAAATTGTAAGATACATTTACTATTCACTTGGTCAACATAAATTAATCTTAATCTTTTACTTTATATATCAAATTTTATGAAATTTGAATTATTTTTTGCAGGTTTTGTAGCGGTTTTAATGTAGTTTCTGAATATGTAAATTTTATTTTCTAAAACTATTTTGAGTCTTGACAGGGATCAATTTGCTTTATCGTCAGTCAAACATCGTAAACCGTAAAGTATCTTACAAATTGGGACGGAGTGAGTATATAAATATATAAATACATAAAGTGAAAACCAAATGTATAGGAAGAGTATGTTGAATACAATACAAGCACATATACAGAAAAAGAATGACGTATAGAAATAAATTTTCCAGTTGTCCCAAAATGGTCCCTAATAGCCTTCCCAGTCAGTTTTTCTCATTTCCATTTTGAGGAAAGAATTGGCAGGTTGTGTACATTGATTCTTCCCTTCTAAAAAAATCTGTTAACTACCCGGAGTGTTGTTGGCAAAAATGGAGACAATAGGTTGTGGAGGACCAGATGACATAGACATCATGGCAGCTTGGAGGAAAATAAACATGGAACAAGGGTTGGAAAGTTATGGTGTTTCCTTCTCCTTAAGAAACCTTTCTATGTTTCTATTAATTCATTCTTTGGTGATTATTTAACAGAGCAGAGCTCTCTTTTATAAGAGGGATTACATGCACAGAAGTACCTAAACTATGAATGGAAGATATCCTAGAAAAGTACTTCCTAAATAGATAAGCTGCCTAATATATTAAAATCAAATTAAAGTTAAGGCAACCAACTACATTGGAGAAAATCAATCAGTCATATCATTCTCCTAAATCTTTTGGTTGATTACTTTTATTTCTCACCATAATCTTTTAACGTAGCATGCATCAAAATCTACACCATACAATTTTATTGTGTAAAGACAGTGTACAAAGCAAATATGAAGATTTGTTGGAGAGAAGGTGACTTGAGGAGTTTTTGCAAGAACTTTCAAAAAGCGCTTTTCAGCTTGTTTTTTGCTTAAAAAAACTGAACTTGGTGTTTCTAAGTGACAGCTTCTACTTAAATTAAGCACTTTAAAACTAAAAGCTTGAAGCAAGTGGAAGATGCTTTAAACTGTTTTTCACTTCTCCTGTTACACAAAAAAGTTCTTTTTTACCAAACACTACTAACTTTTACTTTTTCAAAATCATTTTTTTCAAACAGTACCAACTTCTACTATTAAGTATTTTCTCTAAAATCACTTTAAAATCACTTTTTAAAAGTAGAAGCAATCGCAAACACTCCTTAACTAAAGAGTTAGAGACAGTACACTGAAGAAGAGAAGCGGGGAGCAGTGCTGTTGAGGATAAAGAGTTGAGAGAGAAGGGAGCGTCCCATCATTGCCTGTGAGCTACTGAGCTTGAGAACTTTGAGAGGCAAAATCAGTGTTATCAGTAGCAGATGGTGAATTCAAGCGGCAAGACAAAAGTCCCCTACAATTATATGGCCAATGACATTGCTGCGTATAGTGGAAGCATGGATGGCTGCAGATAAGTTTCATAATTACATTCAAAACAAATAATAACCAAGACAGCACAACATACGTAATCAACTACGGAGTGCTAAATAAAAAAAGATTTCTTTAAACATGCTAAGAACTTCAAAAAGATACGCAGTAGTAAATAAGGAAAAAAATTGAATTTGAAATCTACCTTTAACTAAATCAACAGAAACTAGGATCAGTGAGTGCTCAAACAAATGGCGGAGTACTGAAATGCTACTTAAAAGTCCCTTCTTGAGCCCACCAGCGGCCTAATTGAAGGAGAAAAACAAAAGAGCTAAGAGACTCGATTGCGGAAATTTAAACTGTAAATTCAAAAGTTCACACATTTATAATTGAACAAAGTTTTCCGGTCACGAAGCAGTAATTTTGTTATTTTAAAGGAGAAAAACGAAAGTCACTTCCTCCGAAGTAATTTTGTTATTTTATACGAAAGTCACAAATCTTGAATTGAGGCATTATAGTGATTGGCTTCTGTTCAAGATTGATTCTCAACGTGCTTGTTTAACTAAAAGATGTGATCTTTGCAGCAATATTATACTAATCGTACTAACCTGAATGTGTATATGCTCATTGCATTGTGTTCTTGTGAGGCTGTGAGATGCTTAGGCTTGGCTTTCACGCTAGGTAGTTCAAGGCTATGCCGAGAACATCAGTGTTGAGGATCGATTCCGTGGACGTATTCCGGCTCAGGCAGTCCAGAGCTCGGTTTTCCTGTTGTCTCTTGTGCACACCTAGGCTAAGGGAGCAACACACCTTTCTAGCCTAGCCAACACCTCACTTCTACTCACTTCTACTCACTATCCAGTTCTCACACAAAGGAAACTCAAGGAGGAAGAAGACTGGTTTAGGTGAAGTATCTCTCTACGCTCCACTCCGTACAACAACGGTGCAGGGGCTATCCTTATAGCATGGGAGTTTTGGTTCTATTAGGACACTCAAATAATACACTTCACACACAACTCATCGACTCATCACGAGGCAATAATGAGTTCAGTATTTTGAATTCTAAAGTACGCCGCCTTGCGCCGTCGATTTGAGGTCAGGAAAGCGGTCGCTCGTCGATTGAGTCACCACCGGAGGTCTCTGTTCTTCCGCCGTCGAAGTAGCTGCTGGTCTAGCTCGCCGCCGCAGAGAGTTGCTCGCCAGTTGCATCCGCCGATTGGAGGGCGGTGGAGGGAGTAGACCGTCCCTGAAGCTTCGTCGCTGCTCGCCACTGGAGTTGCCAGCCTTCACAGGAGTCCAATCGACGCTTGCTGCTGCTAAATTGCCGTCCAAAGGTTGAGGGTGGTCATCGCTGAATTCTCACCGTCGATTCGCCGTTCGTTGAGTTCTCCGCAGCAGGTAGCTTGCCCAGATCATAAGATGGATTAAACATGATGTTCTACACGTTTAAAAGTGTAGAATATTGATATAAAGTGGTGATATTTAACTTAGAAGAGTTGGTGAATCGATAGGGGTCGAAATCGCCGGAAACCGCCACTTTAAGGGAGCTGCTCGTTTCTGCAGAACACGAAAGCCGCCCGGCTTTCGTGAAAGCCGCCCGGCTTTTGCCCAGGCAGTCCAGTTTTGCCTTTCAATCGGCCTAGAACGGGGATTGATCGAGGGGCGTAACAAAGGCAACTATTGTAGCACATCACGAGGTGAGGATGGCTGACTATATTGCTTATAATTAGTGAGTTAATTTCATAAGAATGCCTAAAGTAATTAGATGGGATTTTCATGGACTATTAAAGATTAATAATGTCTAAATGAAAATAATATGAATATGAGTAAGTGAAGCATGACATACAATTTAGAATAATTGTGTATGATTATGTGAAATGAATGGAATGGCATGTTAATGGAATTACTAAGATGACATTGTGATAAAATATCCTTTACTCCATGTATGAACTTCATGAATGGATTAAAGTGATATTTTTGATATTGAGATTAGACTATACTTGGGTTGAGGAATCAATGGAAATGAAATGCAATAAGGGAAATAGGAACTTGGCATGTTCTAAGGTTATCCTATTAGTATCAAAATACTAGTCGGGGAATTAATATAAATAAATGATGAAATAAATCCTAAGAGGTAGGATTGTGAATAGATATGCCTTAAGTAGTCTCAAGAGATACCTAAGGATGAATGACATGAACACTAAGGAGTGTTTGGGGGTAGGCCTAAAGGCCACCTCCGGAAATTGATTCCAGGCATAGGACTTGCTTGAGAATTTGATTATGAAAATAAATAGAGTTGGACTCTAGGATGACATGGAGATGTAGTTGGGCCGAGCCCATGCCATGTAATATGATTAGCATGGAAACGTAGTTGGGCCGAGCCCTTGCCATGTATATGTGACCTCCGTGGAAACGTAGTTGGGCCGAGTCCTTGCCACGAAGTTATGGTTGGTATGGAAACGTAGTTGGGCCGAGCCCTTGCCATACAAATGTTGATATGATACATCGAGTTAGAGGATTGTATAGAGATGTAGTTGGGCCGAGCCCATGCTATACAATTGGGGCTCGATGGGACCCCACGGGGTTATCGTGACTCGCGGTCACGGGGGAATGGGAACGGTGAATTCTAAATGAATATGGGCCTACGGGCCGTCTACTTGACTTTATGTAAAGTAAGTACAGTTAAAGGTAAAAAGGGGTAACCGAGGGTTATGGCCTATAATATAATAATACCCTAAGACGGGGGTCTTGGAAATTAAAACGTTGATTATACTTAGTATAGTTGCTATTGTACTTGTCAAATACTTCCAAGTACTGACCTCCCCTTCACGGGGGAGGCCACCTCACAGTTTCAGGTAGGACTTGAAGGTTGCTACCGACGCCCGTTGTTTCAGGGATTTCCAAGGGAGAAGACGTGGTTCGTGCTTCTTCTGTTTCCTGTTTTCAAAACAATTATAACAATGCTCATGGATATTATTTTTGAATAACTATTTGGGGGCTTGTATGCCCATGTTTGCCAAAGTGTGACTAAGACATCTTTATTAAATGCTTCCGCTGTTTTAAATGAATGATTTACATTATGCTTGTTTATGGATGTACTATGTGTGAATGGTATTCAAGACGCCTTGTATAGTATGGATGAGTTGGACTGCGGTTGACTATTCGTACTGTACGGCGGGTTGTTGACGTGTCCGGGTAGGTCCGGGGCGTGACATTTAGAGAGTGCTAAAACTCTGTGGAATAAATTAGACGAACTGTATACTGAAACCTCTTTGCCTAGCCGGATGTTTTTACTTGAGAAGTTCTTCAAATTTAGACTAGATATGTCTAAGGATATTGAGGAAAATCTAGATGTTTTTACCAAACTTATTTCTGATATTAAGTTGTGTGGTGATAAGCATATAGATGATTATTCCCCTATTGCTCTTTTAAATGTTATTCCTGATTCCTTTGTTTATGTGAAATCTGCTATTAAGTATGGTAGAGATAATGTGACACTTGACATTGTGGTTAATGGTCTTAAGAGTAAAGAATTAAATTTAAAATAGATGGGTGAGGGTAGAAAATCGGAGGAGGTTATGCATGTGAGGGGTAGAGAAAATAATAGGCGACGTAGATCTAAGTCTAGGTCTAATTCGAGACGTTGCTATTATTGTCATGAACCTGGTCATTTCATAAAAGATTGTCCTGAATCTAGGGAAAATGAGCATAGTGAGCATGCTAATTTGACTACTTGTGAAGATGATTTAGGTGATGTTTTTATGATGAGTAATCTATGTGATTTTGACTACTTGAGTTTTGTGATATCTGATTCTTTGGGTAAATCAGATTGGATGGTAGATTCTGGTTGTACTTTTCATATGTCCCCTTTAAAAAATGTTTTTTCAAACTATAAAGAGATTGAGCATGGTTTTGTGTCTTTAGCAAATGAGAAGATTTGCAATGTGCTAGGAATAGGAGATGTATGTCGTTCTCTTCTGGTTGTGTGCTTACTTTGAAGAATGTTAGGCATGTTCCTGAGCTGTGCTGTAATTTGCTATCTTGTACATCTCTTGAAAATGATGGTTTGAAGGGGAAATGGGGAAAGGGAATCATGAAAGTTGTGAAGGGTTGTTTAGTTGTTTTCAAAGTTGAGATGAAAAACAACTTGTATGTTTGTCATGCTGAACCCGTACTTGATTTTGTGAATTGTGCGCAACCCTGTGTGCTAAGAAAACAGTCTAGCGTTGTTTTTTTTATCTGCCTAAGTTTACTAATGTGCTTGATTGTATTCATGTTGATTTGTGGGTTCCTTATAGTGTTTCCACTCATGGTGGGAAAAATTATTTTTGACGTTGATTGATGATTTTTCAAAGAAAGTGTGGGTGTTGTTGATTGAGAATAAATCTGAAGTTTTTGATAAGTTTAAAAACTGGAAAACCCTTGTTGAAAAACAAACCGGTAAGAAAATAAATTTTGTAAGGTCCACTGTCAGTTTTGATTTCTGTGATGATCAGCTTGGTGATTTATGTGATACTTGGGGTATTTCTATGCATAAATCTATTCCCTCCACACCCCAACCGGATGGGGGTTGCTGAGAGGATGGTTAGAACTCTTTTAGAGAGGGTGAGGGCTATGTTAGCATCATTTTGGCTCTCTAAAGAGTTATGGGGGGAAGCCATTTGTTATGCTGCTTATTTGATTAATATGTCCCCGTCTGTTCCCTTAGGAGGGAAATGCCCTGAATCTGTGTTCACAGGCGAACCACTTAACTTGCCAAATTTGAGAGTGTTTGGTTGTGCTGCTTTTGTGAATCGTGAGAATGATAAATCTGAACCTAGGGCTAAGGAATATGTTTTCTTAGGATATCATGAACGCATGAAAGGTTATAGGCTTTGGTGTGGGAGTGAAACTTGCTTCAATGTGTTGATGAGTAGAAATGTCATTTTTGTTGAAAATGAATTTCCTTGCTTACTTGTTTCTCCTGATGTTGCTCCAAATGAGGTGGAGCATTTGCCTGTTGAAGTTCATTCTGATTTACTTGTTGAAACCAAACCCAAATTTGTGAATGAAAATGTTTTTCATGGTGAAAATAAAGAAAATAATATTTCTATTGAGGTGGAACACGATATGAATGTTGTGAGCAATATGCTTGAGTTGCGTGATTGCCATGTTATTAGAGATAGAGACATTAGGGAGCATGAGAGAAATGATAAGTGCAAAGTGTTTGACTATATTTCCTCTGAGTTTGCTTTAAATGTGCTTAATTCTCTTTTAATTAATTTCTTTGTGATGTTTGGTATGCTATTTTCTTTGTGTTTTGAAAATGTGATACCGTGTGATTATGTGAGCTCTACATTTGCTAGTTATAGAAATAATATTGTTTCTTTTATTTTCTTTGTACTTGCCTTATGTGGTTGTTGGATTAGTTGGGATCCCCAACTTCTCCCGGATGCTTGCTTGCGTGGGCTATTAACATACCTTGTGTTTGTTAATAACATTGTGATGGTTTCGGTTTTGAACTCGAGGACCCTATGGTAGAGTTAAGTCCATTATGGACTCAGTATGCTTGGTGATTTTACCCTGAGAGCACTTGTGTCTCTCTATTACTTGTATTGTCTTTGTGATTGTACTTGTAATGATCCCGCAATGATGAGTCCACGGTTCCGTGATTGTCTAAGTGCACTACCTTGGGCCAAAGGTGGAGATTGTTAATATATTGTTGGCCCAAATATTTTTTTGTATATTAATAATGGTTAACACACTTTCTAGCAGCCCACTACACCATACCCATTTATCTGTTTGGCCTATCAATCAGCATAATCAGTATACATAGGTGCTTGATCAAAATTAGAAAACCAGGAAGATGGGAACTATTAAGGGGAATTTTGAGTTTAAAGCGTGGTGATATTGGATTTGAACCCCATTTTCAAAACTTTTAGATTTTACACTTTGTCTACAACATTTTTTGAAAAAAAAAATCTTGAATGGGGTGCAAAGGCAAAGACATTTTAGGGGAAATAGGGTGCAAAGTATAAGACTTTTAAAATAGGATGCAAAGTCCAATATCACCTAAAAAGCGAGATGTAAAGTCAAATTATCCCAACTATTAATTCATTCTTTAGTGAAATCTATTTGATTCGAGGGCTAAACCTTTTTCTTGGGCCAAACCTCTTAATTTATAATTTTATATACCCGTAACCCAAAAATGTAAAGCTCCAATTGAATCTATAGAAAAGGATGAAATGAAGAACGAAATTGTTGAATTGACTAATTATGAAAAAGTTATAATTAAAATATTTTATTTAAGAATAAAATAACATAGTCTTTTTTCACGAATATTATTAAATTCAATTCAAAATACAAAAATATGATTTGTTTTAAAAATTTTCAAAAAAGTGACATATTTAGTTACTAGTTCATAATGACTCGTCATCTACACTATAGTGACTAGTTCATAGTGACTTGTACACAGTGGCTAGTCATATTTTTGTCAACAAACATAACTAGTCATATGAAACTCTATTAGTAAAACACATGTCTTTTTCCAAATAAATTTATGGTGTTTGAAAACATAATTAAAATGAATCTCTTTAGTAACTTACCCAGTTCAATAAAAAAAGCAATTCCAATCTTATTCATTTTGATTATTTCACAATTAAATGTGAGGAATCAAAAGTAACATACTTCATCCCTTCTTAAATAAGTGCAACATGTTGAACTTTACATTTTTCATATGTTCTATTTTAACTATGTTTTATTTATTAATGTATTAACAAATTATTTTTATAAAAATATAATTTTTTTTATCTCACCGTAAATTATCAAAATCTGATTTTTTATTTATTTTTTTTAATAATAAAGAATTAAATATATTAATGATCAAAGTTGAGCATTGACAATTGTAAAAAATTGATCATTGCATTTACTTAAGAACGTAAGTACTATATACGTAGTAGTATTTAGTAAAAATTGATTGAAAAGACTCAAAAAGTGAAAATATTATGAGAGGATTAATAATTTTGAATTGATATATGTTTTGTGAAATAATCACTCGTTTTAAAGAATACATTGTACTTGTACGTATAAATAATTTGAAAGGCAAGACTTCACTCAAAATTCGGTTTGGTTTAACCGAATCGTACCAAATCAAATTATTGAAACCGGAACATATGCAAATTGGTTTGAGTTTGGTAGTATTTCTTCCGAACCGTATTAAACATAATCGAGCCAAAACCGATAAAAACCGACTCGAATTAAAGAAGTTCAATAGAACCTTCATACAGTAGTAAAAAAACAAATACAAACCGAACCATACCGAATTAAACTGTACTGAACCATTTGGTAATAATTCTTCCAACCCGTTCCAATACTCACCGAAGCGAAACCAATAAAAAATGAACCGAAAACTGATATGTCCACCCCTAGAAGTATTTATGATTATGAGTCTCTTCAGGTTTTCTATTCAAATGATTAAACAAATGAACCTGGGGATATTAGAGTATGGGGCTAGATTGTTGGGAATGGTTAATGGGATTTTATCAAAGCGCGCATATGGAGAATCGAGAAGAAGGGCTGGTCTCCAAGTGAAAACAAGGCGATGAGAATTAGAGAGACTACTTTGGGAGCGATTAATGAAGGATGGAGCAAAGTAGAAATGGAATTTGATGCTCAAACAAAAATTAGAGAGGTTTTTTTATGATTAATGATTAAGACGTAAAATGATCATTACAGATATGAATTTAAATCTATTTAATTTAGGGAAAAGTACGGGAAATGTGCTTGTGGTTGAACCCATTTTCAGATAGGGTCATGTGTTTAATTTTTTATCAAAGTGGTTCATGTGTTTGAATTCCGTTATCACAAGAGGGTCACGCCGTTAAAAACGTCTGAGAAAGACGGTTAATAGTAACCCCTTTTTTCAAAAGTGCCCTAAAAATTAAAAGAAAAATATTGGAAGCTGCGCCTCAACAAGACAACCGCTAGGTCATTTTTCTTTTTTGTTACCAGCCATCCTTGTCACCGGAAAGTCCATCGGAAAAGTGATATTAGCAAAATCATTTTTAAAAAATAATTCAAACATATTCGAAAAATCCAAAGACAAAGGTGGTTTGGAGGTCATCTTGACGAGGCACACATTTTGATATTTTTCTTTTAATTTTCTAGGCACTATTGAAAATCAGAGTTACTATTAACCGACTTGCAATGACCATTAATAAAAGTCACGGACAATCGTTGAAAAAGGTTGTCATATTACTATGACGCCCCATTATTACTCACAAACATTTGTACGTGGCGGTGTGGAGAGTAAAAAGTTCATGGGATTGAAGTTTGTAATGAGGAAGATGGACAACCAGTCAAATCAACATTGAATGTTGTTTATAAAGAAATATGTAACTGTTGGGCGTAGCTCAACTGGTAGCATGGGAGTGCCACAAGGGTTAGGTCCCGGGTTCGAATCACGTTAACTGCGATGAGGGGTTACTATGCTAAAAATGCATAGGGCCTCTTCAAGTACCGAGGACAGAGCTTCACTCTCTATCTGACAGATTGAGATTATAGTCAAATTTACATCCTCCCAACGTACCGTCCGATCGGGGTTGGGGGCCCTCAGGGATGGAGTGTCATTCTTTTATAAAGAAATATGTACTATAGAGTAATTTATAATTTTCATTATAATGTGGTGAACTTAAATGCGCATTCATTTCATCGTGTGATGTTTTACATTTTAGTTCTTACAATTTATTCATAATTTATTTAATGTTTTCAAATAATTCTAACACAATCATATTTTATAAATATTTTTAAATATATAACTATATCTAAATTATTATGTGGGTGTCTCACTCTCGTGTGCACGGGTGTAATAACTAGTTTTCATTTATTTTAGTCGGGCCCCTCTTCTATAAGAAAGTACTTTTCTGTGTTTTTTTCTCGAAAGAGGAAGATGATATACGATGGCTCATTGCCATACAAATCACCTAATTCTATCCGAAAGGCTCCAGTGCTCCACCAAGAATTCGCTACGAACTTCATCAACATCAGTATTGGATCATCCCTAAATGGGATCAACAGTGTGGAAATACCATTTAGCCCCTGCTATACTGTTACTGCCAAAGCCATTATTGGGTCTTCAAGAAAATCTGTGAAATCTTGGAGCTCTTCAAACCCTCAATCATCACCACAACCACACTTAGCATTAGCTGGAGGAGAAGAAGTGGAATTGGAGCATGAGCATCAGCTGAAGGACAATAATGGAATTTCAAGAAAAGAAAGCTCTGGTTATCTGGTCAGGGATCATGAGTATGGATGGCAAGTAAGGAAGATGGTCCAGAGTGAGGATGAGATTAGGGAAGTAGCTAATGTTCAAGCTGAGGCATTTTATGAACCAGTCTTCTTCTTCAATGCTCTCTTCTTTCATTTTTTCAAGGTTCCTAATTTCAACCCTTCCCCCCCTCATTTATTTTAGTTCATCTGAATTCTAATCACTTTTGTTAAGAGGTCTGTTTTGGTGTACATATTTTCTGTACAAGTTTTGCACAGTTATCTGTATTACAATTTCTGCATTTTTTAGATAAATTTTTTGTGTATATAGATAAAATAGGGGTGTACATAAAAGGGTACAAAAACGTGTACAAATGGATTTTTCCTTTTATTAGCTGAATTTTCACGGAATATAAGATTGTTTGATTATTTGAGTTCAATTATTTAATGATTTTTATTTAAGAAGCCACTTTCATTTTTCAGTTGCTGACATATATGATAATGGTAGGTAGGGTACTCCCTATTTGTTTTCATGCGCCAATGTTTTCTTTCTTTTACAAAGAAAATAGACTTAAATGATGAACTTTTATCAATTGATAACTTGAAATATAGATAAAACTATTACTTCAGGATCTGAAAAAATGAAATATATCGCTAGAAACAAAATGTTTGAAAAATGTCAATTTACGACCTAATTTATCATGAATTTTATTGTTTTATTATTTAAAAAAAATTTTATGAGTACTGAATTTTATTAAACTACTAAACTTTTGTGAAGAAAAGATAATCAAAAGCTATGGAGTATAAAAAAATCCAAATCTATGGAATTTCAGGTCCTAGTTTGATAGTTTTCAATGGTCCTATATCGACGCATTACATTTGTTAGGTTTCAATTTGATAATTTATCTATCTTTGAAATCCAATAAAATTCCTAAAATAATCAATTTTCAATGGTTTAGCTACTTCGATAATCTAGTAAAATTTACTCTTACTAAAAGGACTTCATGATAGATGATACCGTACGTATGATTTTTTGAGCTATAAATGTGTGTATAGATATAAAACATTTAATTAATGTATTGCGTTTTTGGAACAGATGAAATAAATTGAACGTGAAGTAACCAACGGACACGTCCTTAGGATGTTTTTACTTGGACCGTAATTCGTCCAGACCAGACCAGACCTGACCAGACTTGGATAGTTATAAAAATACAAAGAAACCAGATCAGACCAGACCAGACCAGACCAGTTCAGACCAGATCATACCAGTTCAGACCAGACCAGACCAAACCAGACCAGTTCAGACCAGATCATACCAGTTCAGACCAGACCAGACCAAACCAGACCAGACCAGACCAGACCAGCAAATTATAGTCCAAGTAAAAACAAGTAAAAACATCCTAATATTGCACAGCCATCTTCAAACCGCCAATTTTTAATAATGCAGGCCGAGGTGCTTTCTGGGCTTCTTTACAGATTGAAGAACTCTCCACCTCAGAGGTACAAGCCCGATAAAGAGCAGTTTGAAAATACACAAGAATTATGTTGTATGGACAAGGAAGTCAAGTAGGGGTGGGCATGATTTGGCACACTTCGGGGTTAGGGTTATGCAGATCTCAATTCGATTAGACCATTCAGGATTGTAGGAGGCAAACCTTTATCCTATTCTTGTCTCATTTAAATTTGGTCCAAAAGGTGGAATCTCCCACCCCAGAAGCCCTCATCCCGATTCGACAGGATGGTGGAGGAGTTAATCACGATGACTCAGTTAGCAAAGCAGCAATAGTCTTATACACGTGTTGCATCAGAGGTTCAGCCTTATTTCATGTTATGTAACCTCCACACGGTCGCTGCGAGTTTCGAACCTTGGTCACTTGGTCCAATTTTCCCACCACTCGACCAACTGAGCTACCCGTGTGGGTTTGTCTCATTTAAACTCGGACTATTCGGACGTGCCAAACTAACAAAAAGTATCACTGAGTCATTCCTAACTAAAATATATTTGCATTTATACTGTATATACGCGCAAAATATTACTCCGTAGCATTTCAAAGCCAAAGTCTTTATGAACGACTATTTTGGCCCCCAAGTCTCAAACCAAAAAAAAGAAAAAAAATAGAGTTGTTGGGGTCGGAACCAGGACCGAGGCCGTCCGGTTCGGTCCCAAAAATGTGTACCTGGGACCGCATTCCTGAAAAATCCAGAGAGGGCAGGTCCAATTATCCAACACAGTACTGGGATTAGTTTCGGAATTATTGGGGCCACCTAACCGAGTCCATGTTAAGTTAGTGTCATTCTTAAATACTACGTATTGCTTTTTTCCTGAATAATTTACTATTAGTCTTAAATTTTAGAGCCTAATTTGATATTAATAGTACTCGTATTGTGAATATTTACATTGTATTTACTATATACAGTTTAGAGCATTTTTTAGTTTATGAACATCGGTTTATGAATGTGGTTTTTTGGGACGGAGATCTCTCACCAAAACAGGTATGCATGTTTGGTGGCGCAACATTGGAAGGATACAGCGGCAGAGATGAAAGCAGTGGTTGGAGTGGTCGATGCAACTGTGTTTAGAGACCGTAATGTTCTTCGACATCTTCAAGGAGCAAATGAATATCTTTACATTTCTGGGATTGCTGTCTTACGCAAATGCAGGTTCTAAACTTCTAATCCTTTTCTTGCACTTCCATTTTTCTTTAATGTTGAGAGTGAGCTAACTCTGATAGTCCTTCAGATCATTTATATAAATCAATAATATCACTCTTGAATGCTCACAATAAAACTTAGGTATCAACTAAGACTAACTCGCAATCCGGCTTACAAACTGCTACCATAGCAAGTCAGTTGCTCGATTACAATGAACAATAACAAAATTCGCTTTTGTATTAATAGTTGTCGAATATCATCTAAAATCAAATCGAAATAAGATTATCTGAAATGCCCGCCAATATTCTGTTACTTGAAGAGCATCCTTTTCTACTATATCACTTGATTCTAACCTTTATTTACATTATTAGAAAGTATACAAAGAGGAAAGAGATGAAGAAGATTGTTATTTCTTAATCATCGAGAGCATCTTTACAATGCATATATAGAGTCAGTTAGGTAATAACAGACTAACTGACTCTAACCGAGACTCAAACTAATACAGTTTATTACAAACTATTCTAGTAGTCTATTCTAGAGTATATCTAACATACATAAAGCCATGATAGATTCGATAACCTTGGGTAGTAGAGAGTGTTAGATATATTTATGTTGTGATCAATGTTTAATTATTATACGTCTCTTGTTGTATTTTATCTATTATTAAACAAACTAGAATAGAATAAAGGTGCAAAGAAATATTTGGACCACATCAAATAATGGCCCAACCATTGTAATGACCTACCCATTCTCTAGGCTATAAATATGTCTTTAAGGGAATGGATGATACAACTGTCCTATTGCCTCACCGAACATTCCCTGGCCCTGCGCCTAATATTTCTGAGTTTGAGAAGAGAGAAAGTTTCTACACTACATTTGCGTATCTTTGTAAAACTTTCCCCTTCAATGAAAGCCATTCTTATTCATATTTGAGAGCTTCATTTCAAAGTTTATGTAGTAGACAACAGGGACCTAACATCCGGTATTAGAGCCGGAGCTGATCGACAGATTGACGCTGAAGTTTTTGTCCGTGCGCAAACCTCATCTGCTTCATGCGCGAAATTTCTGTTGTTTCTATTTTGTTGTTTTTTGCAGCTTAAAAGGTCATAATCAGTGCTGGAAGATGTTTTACCATTAGCTGAATATCATTTTCTTCATCGTCCGCACATGTTTAGGTAGTGTACAAGTTACAGATTCAGAGACGCGAAGTTGCAGTTTAGCGCATCACTCAGTGCGTGAAACAGGCTGTGCGCGAAACACACCCGTGCGCGAAATAGGTTGTGCGCCATGCGCGAACCTCTTCGCGCGTGAAACATACCCGTGCGTGAAACCTATTTCGCGCATACACCTTCATGCGCGAACCTCTACTTCGCGCATCATCCTTTTTGTGTGCTAACCTGTACTTTGCAGAAACAGCTCCGTTGAGTCAATCAACTGTTGAGCTCGATCAACATCAACATGGACGCTCTATCAATCATTCAATCGGAAATGTCACAATACCACCCATTCTCTGAAGGGGTGAGTACATGGTATGGAAGAACAGATTCCTGAACTTTCTTGAGAGCAAAGACCACTCCTCTGGGTTGTTGGACTCGATCACTAATGGTCCAACATAGCTTTGGATAGCTATTGAAGGAAATTCGGAGAACAACGTGTAACACCCCGGCCCCGTAAGCCCCGAGGTAGTTACTTTTGACTTCTAGTACTGTCCCCACAAACCACCACGAACCTTTATCGCGCATTTTGTCCTCACTCGTGCGCGTCCTAAGAAACTTCCCAAGGGGTCACCCATCCCAAGACTACTCACGTGCAAGTACGCTTTTGGAGTTCTTGAGTGATGAGCTCCCTTAAAAGTAGATGCACCTATGTTGGTATGAGTAATACTATTAATCCTCTTAAATTAATCTCGGATATTACAATCACCCCACTTAGGATCGCAATGTCTTTGTTGCGCCCTTAAACCAATCTCAATCAAACCCTAGAATCACCCCACTTAGGATCGCAAGGTTTCTCTGATACCACCTGTAACACCCCCATTTTTTCCACCCAAATAAAATCACATTTTTAAATGAAATCATCTTTATTATAAAACATATTTTGAGTACAACAGAAGTCTTTAAAGGGAAAACAGGTGTGTCACCGCCACACTCAACCTATACATGATTGAGTGCACAAGCTATCCACCATAAGTTCAAATAACAATCAAATAGATCTTAGGATAAAGTTTATGAATTACAAATTTAAACAACGATAATTAATCAAACATGTGCAACTAGCGGAACACTCGGGTAGCAAGTACATCAATCTTCATAATCATAATCATCTGTACAATAGAGCAAAGAGAAGAAGATAAAAGAGATAAAAATTAGCTTTAGAGCTAAGTAAGATTCCACCTAAACCCATCAAATAATATAATTTGGAAAATAGGTTTTTGTATATGTATATATATAGAAAAGTGTCATCTCATATGTCCAAAATGACTTACTGTCTCAAAATATTTCCTCAATAGATAATGTCATTCTTCAATTCCTCCAAAAGTAATAATTTAGGTTTCTTTTAAGAGTGGGCGAAACTCAAGATTCCTCGAGCCTAATGAGTCGTTGTTATCTACGACTCATCCCAAAATTCCGGATCCCACCGACCACCAACTGGAAGCTGAATTTCTACCTTAAGTGTGCACATCCTCTAAAAGGGATTCCAAGCCCTCCGAGTAGTGAGAAACTCAAGTAGGCAGGATGTTTTTTACCACGTACTCACAAGGGACATTGTCCAGGGGTAAATTAGGTAACTACTAGTACGACCACCAAATGACCTTTGATCCTCAAATAAAAGCTCGGGATGTCTATCGGAGCATGTCATTACTGGACTAGTTACCGACCCAAATAAATTTCACCAAAAGTAGTAGTAGCCCTAACCACCCACGCCTCGTGTTTCTCTCGAGACGCAAGAATATATTATGAAAACTTTAAGTTTTCCCCAAAATCATTCTTGTCACACTTCCAAAAATATCCTTTGTAATAAATATCAATTCACCAATATTCTTTAATAAAAAGAATATACATTCTATAATCCATAATAGATAATAATACATCAATATTCATACATTCAAAATATGCAATCCATGTCAAACATATAGTTTCCTATTCATAAGTAATTCACTTAGTTCAAATATTGCATACACATAAGTACGAGGCAAAACATTTTTGGTTGACATAGAACTTACTTTAAATTGAGATAATTCCCTTAATAAAATCTCTAGCTTGGTCTTCACTTAGATTTTCCTTCTAATATTTATCAAAATTCTAAATCAATAACTATTATATTATTTTTGTTATTTCCTATGTATCCCAACTTTAATTATTTTAATTTCATAATTCCTTCTTTAAATATAACTATTAAATTATATTCATAAACCTTATTTTAAATGTTAATTTCTAGTCCAACCTTATTATTTTCTTTAATCATACTAATCCCCTCCATAATTTACTTTAATTTATTTGGTTAATTAGTTAACTAGTCTAATTAAATTAACTACATAATAATTTCATTATTTCGAATTAAATAACAAATTTCAGTCCAAAATTCAGTGTAAATAATTTATATAATTTATTTAATAAACCTTTTAATAATAATATGGCGAAAGCAATAATTCGAAATAATAATCATTAATGATAATCTAATCTCAATAACAACTTTAATTAGTTCAATAGTTTACTTATACTAACTAACCCAATTACATTAAATAATTCAATCCTCCAGTTTTATTTATTTGATAAACTAATTTAATTGAACAACTTCATCAACTAAATAAGTTTAATTATATCAATATAGCTAAATACATTAATCTAATTCAATTAAGGCCAATAATAAAATTCTAATGTCGTTTTAATTTTCTATTTTTACTATAAAGTCCAACAATACTACCACGTCCATAATTGAACTAATTTATCCATTAAACTAATTGATTTCATTAAACTAGTACAATGAAGTCAATTAACTAAATTATTAAGCACCCATTACTTAATTAATTTATTTATATTAATCAACTAATTTTTATGAGTTCAAATAGTTTAATAATTTATATGAAGTCCGAATCAATAATTATAATCAAGCATAATAATTATTAATTTAATCAAATTAATTTCATTAGTCCACTAATTCAATGATTTATTTATTAAGTTCAAATATAGTCATTCATTTATGCTAGCTAACCCACCTTTATTTTCTTTTCCTTATTTTATTACAAACATCATTTTTAGTCCATAATATTATTTTCAATCTCAGTGATTTATTTATTTCACCATTAATATAAAATTTCCCTATTAAATTATTTAACTAGTTTTAATGGCCCAATTAAATTAAATAGCTGAAGAATCGACTTTATAAATTAATAACCGTTCATAACTATATATTGGGTCTATATTTGACCTAGGTTATCCAGATATTTATTTTAGAACTATTTCCCTTAGTTATTCATATAATTTCATATATCTATTAATCGGTGCAATTACAATTAAATATACTAATCATAAGTTTTTATTAATTATAAATGGTCCCATGTGTCCTATTTAGTCATAAATTTAATCTAGTTTACTCCAAAATTGATTTCATAATTATTTCGTCATTTAGCTAATACTTTACTAAATGTGTACAATTTGTCCCACTCACAATTAAATCAATTAAAAATAGATAAAAATATTATTTTCCAATTCTGGTTGGTTCGAATATGTATATTTATACCAGGTATTTAATTTATAATTTTACAGATTTTATTTATCTCATTCACTATTTTATTTTTAATTTTTAATACGTGACCCGGCTCAAGAGACTAAGTTGTCTTCTTCCCAGTTCTTCTCCAGGTCGTGATTCCGGCGACCGGAATTACGAAAACTTCCATGAGCGATAATTTTACTTACATGTAACAAATTTCGACGATTCAAGTTGCACAATGCTCGTGACGTTGATACGAAGCTCCGCCACCCCTATCTACGTCCAAATCGCCTCTTTCAATGAAGACCCGCTTCCATGGCTTGCAACTCCGGCGAGCTCTAGGATGCTCCGGTGACTCCGAATCGGTCTGGAATTTATTGGGAAGTATCTCTAGACCTCTAACAATCCTCCTCTCTTGCTTATAAGCAATTTCTTACGTAAATATATATATATATATATATATATATATATATATATATATATATATATATATATATGGTGCGGTTCCAGTGAGAACGATGCTTAACGTGAGAACATGAGAACACTCACATTTAAATCCATGTGGTGCACAATGGAGCTATTATGTTGCACATTTTCAATTTGCTCGAATTAAGCCTATTTAAATAAACACGGTGGCAGTTTGGTAAATATTGTGAAAATGTGCAATATACAAGCTTCGTTGTGCAACACGTTGGGGTAAATGTGGTGTTCTCACGTTCTCACGTTAATCATTGTTCTCATTTGATCTTTATTCTATATATATTCTATATATATATATATATGTGTGTGTGTGTGTGTGTGTGTGTGTGTGTATATATATATATATATATATATATATATATATAGATAGATAAGAGATCAAATACAAACCATGCTTAAAATACTAACCTACAAACTCATCAATATGCGGCACTTTGAACTTCAATATGCAGTAAAAATAATGTAAAGATGCAGGGGTGAGATCACATACAAACTAGTCCTCCCATTCAAATCATCTTTGCATCATTTGTATTGCACATTGAAGTTCAAAGTGTTTCATAATATTCAAGCCAGAAAATAACAGTTTCATATTTACATTATTTGTATTGCATATTAAAATTCAAAGAGTGCATCTTTACATTATTTGTACTGCATATTGAAGTTCAAAGTATTGCATATTATTGAGTTTGTAGGTTAGTAAGTTAAGCATAGTTTGTATGTGATCTCACCCCTATATATATATATATATATATATATATATATATATATATATATATATATATATATATATATATATATATATATATATATATATATATATATATATATATATATATATATGGGAGGGTTCAAATACAAAGAGGTCTTCCCATGCAAAGTGAGAATTAATCTCGTGCATTCATTTCCAGATGTAATGGCTCAAAATGAGCCAAAAGTGAAATAAATTTGATCAAAAACGCGGTGACAATTTCGTAATTAAAACGAAGTTTTTTGCCCTTGCAAAAAAGTGCAACAGAAACACGCAAAAGTGAAACGCGGTACGAAAAAAGTGCAATCATTCGCACTTTGCACGGGAGAACCTCTTTTTATTTGATCTCTTCCCTATATATATATATATATATATATGTGTGTGTGTGTGTGTGTGTGTGTATTTCCGGCAACCTATATGCATATATATATGTATATAGGTGTTCTCACTCATTTTCTTCAGTTTGTAGTGATTTAGAATGGAAAAGTATCTTTATTTATAGATGTAGATCGATCCTTGTGAGTTGTGGATTTATTATGAATTATTTTGATAAGATACATACATTTTCATAATTCATAATGTATATACATTATACAGTAGGTGTACATGAGATCATGAGGTTGGTTCTTGACATGTGAAGATGTTTTCACAGATTTGGTTTAGTATCTTTGTTATTTTTTTAATATAAATAATAGGTGCATGTGTTTTCTATGTATATATATTATTTATATTAAAACACATACATCTATTAAAGTATTAATATGTATTTTGATAAGAAAATAATAACAAAGATACTAAATCAGGTCTGGGGAAACATCTTCACATGCCAAGAACCAACCTCATTAACTCACACCTACCATATAATGTATATACATTATGAATTACCCGCATGGGTAGCTCAGTTGGTCGAGCGGTGGGAAAAATTGGACGTAGACCAATGTTCGAATCCCGCAGCGGCCAAAAGGGGGTTTTCAGAACCTGAAATAAGGTTGGCCCTCTGGTGCGCACGGGTAAAGGCCTACTGCCGCTTTGCCGACTAATTCACCGTGATTTACTCCCCCACCATCCTGTCGGGTCGGGGTGGGGGGGCCCTTGGGATTGGGGATTCAACCTTTTGGACGTATATACATTATGAATTATGAAAATGTATGTATCTTATCAAAATAAATCATAATAAATTCACACAGCTCACAAGGATGATCTACAACTATAAATAAAGATACTTCTTCATTCTAAATCACTACGAACTGAAGAAAATGAGTGAGAACACCTATATATGTACATATATACATATAGGTCGCTGGAAACACACACACACACACACACACACACATATATATATTTATTTATTTACGTAAGAAATTGCTTATAAGCAAGAGAGGAGGGTTGTGAGAGGTCTAGGAATACATCCCAAGAAAATCCAGAACGATTCGGAGTCACCGGAGCATCCTAGAGCTCGCCGGAGTTGCAAGCTGTGGAAGCGGATCTTCACCAAAAGAGGTGATTTGGACGTAGACAGGGGTGGAGGAGCTTCGTATCGACGTCAGGATCATTTTGCAACTTGGATCGTCGAAATCCGTTACATGTAAGTAAAATTATTGCTCGCCGAAGTTTTCGTAATTCCGGTCGCCGGAATCGCGACCTGGAGAAGAACTGGGAAGAAGATAACCCAGTCTTCTTGGGCCGGGTTGCGTATTTGGGTCGGTTCGGCTTAGTTTCAATAAAAATTAAAAATAAAATAGTAAATGAAATAAATAAAACCTGGAAAACATATAAATTAAATACTTGGTATAAATATACATATTCGAATCAACCAAATCGAATTGGAAAATAATATTTTTATCTATTTTTAATTGATTTAATTGTGATTGGGCCAAATTGTACATATTTAGTAAATTATTAGCTAAATGACGAAAATAATTATGAAATAAATTTTGGAGTAAACTAGATTAAATATATGACTAACTAGGACACTTGAGACCACTTATAATTAATAAAAATTATGATGGGTATATTTAATTGTAATTGCATCGGTCAGTAGATATATGAATAACTAAGGGAAACAATTCTAAAATAAACATCTGGACAACCTAGGTCAAATATAGACCCAAAATATAGTTATGAAAGCTTATTAATTTATAAATTCGATTCTTAAGCTATTTAATTTAATTGGGCCATATAAAACTAGTTAAGTAATTAAATAGGGAAATTTTATATTAATGGTGAAATAAATAAATCTCTGAGATTGAAAATAATATTATGGACTAAAAATGATGTTTGTAATAAAATAAGGAAAAGAAAATAAAGTTGGGTTATCAAGCATAAATGAATGACTATATTTGAACTTAATAAATAAATTATTGAATTAGTGGACTAATGAAATTAATTTGATTAAATTAATAATTATTATGTTTGATTATTATTATTGATTCGGACTTCATATAAATTATTAAACTATTTGAACTTATATAAATTAGTTGATTAATATAAATAAATCAATTAAGTAATGGGTACTTAATAATTTAGTTAATTGACTTCATTGTAATATAAGGAATTATGACATTAAAATAACTAAAGGTGGGATACACATGAAATAACAAAAATATTAGAATAGTTATTGATTCAGAATTTTGATCAATATTAGAAGGAGAATTCAAGTGAAGACCAAGTTAGAGATTTTATTAAGGGGATTATCGCAATTTAAGGTAAGTTCTGTGTCAACAAAAAATGTTTTGCGTCATACTTATATGTATGCAATATTTGAACTATGTGAATTATTTATGAATCGGAAACTATGTGTTTGACATGGATTGCATATTTTGAATGTATAAATATTGATAGATTATTAGCTATTATATATTATTAAATGTATATTCTTTTTATTAAAGAATATTGGTGGATTGATATTTATTGCAAAGGATATTTTTGGAAGTGTGACAAGAATGAATTTGGGGAAACTTGAAATTTTCATAATATATTCTTGCGTCACGAGAGAAACACGAGGCGTGGGTGATTAGAGCTACTACCACTTTTGGTGAAATTTATTTGGGTCGGTAACCAGCCCGGCAATGACATGTTCCGGTAGGCATTCCGGGCTTTTAGTTGAGGACCAATGTCCTTTGGTGGTCGTAGTAGTTACCTAATTTACCCCTGTACAATGTCCCTTGTGAGTACGTGGTAGAAAACATCCTGCCTACTTAAGGTAGAAATTCTTAAGGTAGAAAACATACTACTCGGAGGGCTTGGAATCCCTTTTAGAGAGTGCACACTTAAGGTAGAAATTCAGCTTCCAATTGGTGGTCGATGGGATCCGGAATTCCAGGATGAGTCGTAGATAACAACGACTCATTCGGCTCGAGGAATCTTGGGATTCTCCCACTCTTAAAAGAAACCTAAAGTATTACTTTTGGAGGAATTGAAGAATGACATTATCTATTGAGGAAATTATTTTGAGACATTAAGTCATTTTAGAAATATGAGAGGGTACTTTTCTATATATGTACATATACAAAAACCTATTTTCCAAATTATATTATTTTATGGGTTCATGTGGAATCTTACTTAACTCTAAAGCTAATTTTTGTCTCTTTTGTCTTCTTTTCTTTGCTCTATTGTACAGATGATTATGATTATGAAGATTGATGTACTTGCTACCCGAGTGTTCCACTAGTTGCACACGTTTGATTAATTATCGTTGTTTACATTTGTAATTCATAAACTTTGTTCTAAGATCTATTTGATTGTTATTTGAACTTATGGTGGATATCTTGTGCACTTAATCATGTATAGGTTGAGTGTGGCGGTGACACACATGTTTTTCCTTTAAAGACTTCTGCTGTAATCCAAATATGTTTTATAATAAAGATGATTTCATTCAAAAATGTGATTTTATTTGGGTGAGAAAACAGTTAGTGACACACATAGGCTGAAGATTGAAGAAGAATACGATGATTAGGATCGTATCAGAATCTGTGCTGAGCTCCTTACCAAGACTTATCTTATGCAGGCTGTCCTGAACGACATCTACATACAAATTGACAGCATGTCAACTGCAAAGGAGACATGTGATGAGATTTTCAAGATAGTGCAAGGAACTGAAATTGGTGTGAAGGTAAATGATACTGTTATATTTTTATTAGGTATAGTTGCATTGTTTCATTGTAGGTTGTTGTGGAAATTACACACTTTTGGTGTAATTACATTATTTTTCTAGATAGTTTTAATTTGTTTAGATTAAGATTATTCTAAGCTTAAAAGAGATCAAGATCATACAAAGGATCAAGATTGGACCCCAAAAGATCAAGAAAAGTGCAAGAAGACAAGATAAAAAGAAGATTGAGAAAATATTTCGTATACTCGTTCGGGTATAGGCAATACCGATCGGGTATTGAGTTTATTCGGGTGTCAAAATCAGAATCTGGAGAGACAAAAAACATGTAGGATTTTGAAGATTTGTCTCATACCCGACCGGGTATGTCATGAAAAGTGACTTTTCGGGAAACTGCCTAAAATACACGATCGAGTACCCTATATACCCGGTCGGGTACACAACCTTGCCACCTCCAAACACCTATAAATACACATCTTTTCCTTCACAATGAAAGCACCAATTCTCATATACTTCTAAGCTCAGTATGCCTAGTTTCCGAATGAGGAGCTAAACCCTTCCATCTTGGTTTTAATACATTGAAGCTTATGATTTTTAAATTGTGAGTTATTTTCGTTAATAATCTTCCTTGAATATTAATTACACTCCTATTCATATTTCATATTAATATCTGAGCATTACTTAAAGAATCAGCTAGTTTGTTTCATATATTAATTATTACTAGAATCGATCAACGAATACGCTTGTGAATCGTTCGGTCTTTTCTCTGTAGTAAACTTGGATTATTAATGCATGCGACTCATGGTTAATAATCTAAGGGGGATTAATTATATTGATTAAACCAATAAACCGCTTGTGTTGAGGTTATCAATCTCAATCTACTTCATCTTAAGTTTTATTGCTACTATCGGGTCAATATACGACACATGTTCTATATTGACTTGATAGTAAGTTTTATTAATGAACGCGTCTCGTTATTAATAACTACCCTCGATGAATTGGAGATAGTCCACGATTGAGTATTTGAGAGGAAGATAGTTAAACATATAACCAGGATTGACGAACATTTCATTAAGGATGTTTTTACTTGGACTGTAATTCCTCCCAGACCAGATCAGACCAGACCAGACCAGTTCAGATCAGACCAGACTTGGATAGTTATAAAAATACAAAAAAACCAGACCAGACCAGACCAGTTCCGACAAGACCAGACCAGCAAATTACAGTCCAAGTAAAAACATCCTAGGTGGATATAAGCAAAACATAGTCTCAATCTCTATCTCTATTTATTAAACCACATAAGTCGTCCATCTTAGTGTTAAAAATTAATTAGATCAAATCAATCTTAAAACCCCCTTTGTTACAATTTAATTAAAAGTGAAATATTCCTTTCCCTACGGATACAAATCTTACCACGTCATATTACGGTACTAGCGCGAGTATTGTATTTATTTTGAGGCATACAACGACTTTAGTGTCATCAGCAAAGAAGGCAAATACATTCACTGCTTATGACTCTTCAAAGCTAAGCTGGGAGAATCACTTGAGGATACCTACATCCGCTTTCTGAGATAGATCAACGAGATGAGGAAGATCAATGTTCATAAGTCCAATATGGAGCTGAATGTGACATTCCTGTCATCTCTAGCCCCTGAGTGGAGGAAGCTTTGTTCTCACATTAGACACACTAAGGACTTGGAGGAGATGGATATTCATGCAATTTACAACACTCTTGACATGTATGCTAATGATTTTTCTGACTATGCGAGTGTTGTTGATGAGAAAGGTAAAGCAGGTCAAGCTGACCGACACCTTAGCTCTCATGCTTGAAATACCCTCCAAATCAGCTTCCAAAACCCAAAAAGTGAAGATGAAGACTATCGCTCCTGAGACTGAAGAAAGTGAAGTAGATTTTGATGATTATTCTGATGATGAACTCTTGGACTTCCAAAAGCAATTGACACTCTTGAATTCTAAGTTCAACAACCATATCTACAAGAAGAAGAATTCATCTTCTAACAGACTTCACAAGTCCTCTACCAGCACCAAGCGGAAAGAAACACCATTTGATACATCTGATGCTCTGGATGCTGAGGATGCTCCTAAATGCTTCAACTGTGAGAAGTAGGGGCATCTCATAAAGGACTGCAACTCGGGCCACGTTTGCTAAGTGGGATGACAATTTTCCTTGCCTTTCCAGTGTGGGAAAGTCTTGTTTGAGACTTGAGAGAATAAAGAACCGTTTTAAAAAAGCAAGGGTCTGTTTACTAACAGAGATATTTTCTAATTTTCTATTTTTGTTTTCTGTTCTCCAATTTTCTATTTTCATTTTCAACTTTTTCTATCTCCAATTTTTTGTTTTCATTTTTTAGTTATCCATTTTCAAAACTGAAAACATGTTCATACAAAATTTTCACTCGGTTCTGTGACTGACCAAAAGACAGAAAGCACGATTCCAGTCCAAAACCAAACCTAGTACAACCCAAGGAGGGTACTGGGTCCCACATATAGGAAAGGCGGGACCGAAACCGACCGGAACCGATCGATCTCAACATTTAGTTCGATGAATTCTTTTACCATTTCCCTATTAGTTGAAAACTCAACGGCTCTTTTAAAACTCTTTACTTTAAAAAATGATTTCAAAATACCGAAACTGAACTGCCGGGTCATTGACCAGCCCAGATAGGGACCATCGTGTCATTCACGAGACTGGCTCGGGACTGCTCAATTGTCTATCGGACCAAACATAGACCGTCGTGTCATTTGCCAGACAGGATGGGGACCGCCGGGGAGTTGATCGGATAGGACATGGACCATCACGTGGTTGACCAGACAGGACAGGGACTGCCAGGTCATTGACCGGACCGGACGGGTACCGCCGAGTCGTTGACTAGACCGGATCGGACCGAGATTGCTCGATCGTCGATCAGACCCAACAAGTACCGCTTGGTCGTGGATCGGACCGCACAGGGACCGTCAGATCATCGACCGGACAAGACAGGGACCACCAGGTCGTCGATCAAACCGGGACCGTTAGGTCGTTGATCGGACTGGATCGGGATTGCTCAGGCGTCGACTAGACCGGACATGGACCGCCGGGTTAATGACCAGACCGGTCCGTCGGGTCATTGACCAGACCAGATAGGGTCCATCGGGTCATTGACTGGACCAGACTGGAACTGACACTGGAGCGGGACCGGATCCAATACTAGGCGTAAGTATGCAAATTCATTGCAACGGCACTGCATTATTCGTCTCTTCCAAATTTAAAAAACTAGTAAAAGTCACTTTTAAAATTCATTAAGGATAACCGAGAGATATATCATTTTTTTTTTGTTTTGGAAAACGATTTGGTAAACACACTTTTCTGTTTTCCTTTCTGTAGTTGTCCAACTTTTTTTGTTGTAAACACGTTTGGTGTTTTCCCTTTTCCAGTTTTACAGTTTTCTGAAAAATTGAAAAATATCTCTGTTATTAAACATGGCCTTATTTTCTCATTTCTTGTAGCTTATCCTTCATTAGTTGGCCTCATATTCAAATTGTCTTGATTACCCAATGCACAGGTGATGATTTTTTCAAATTCTTTGAGTAGAAAATGAGAGAGTGAGTCCACCCCAGTAGAGAGTTAAGAGAGTGAAGTCTAGAAGCTAGCTCCTCAGAAGTATTAAAGGAGTCCAAATGCTCAATATCAGCTTCTAGCAAGGCTCCCGAAATGGAGACATTTGTATTACAGTTATGAGGACATTCCCTAACCAACCAATTAGTGAGAGGCAAAGGATCACACTCTGTGTTGAAATTGACAAAACATGAAAAAACCTCACATATAGTTGTTCAATCGCCACTGATGCTTGCTTGGCAACAAAGTTGTTCATTAGAGCATCAAAACTCAAGTTGTATGTACATATGGCTCCAAAAAAGGACTGATGAGGCCCGCCCAGAGGTTACACAATTCTTGGCTTAAAAATATTTGCTCAAACAAAACTAGCATCAACAAAAAGTGAAAGAAGAATATTTTCAATTAATTCTCTAACTTCTCGAAATTAAAAGGGGGGTGTATTGAATATGGATTGTCGTGGACTTTTTTTAATCCGTGGACTTTTAAAAAAGTCAATGGACTTTTAAATCCATAATTTGTTTTGAATGAATTCTATGGACTTTTAAATCCATGAATAAGTTTATTGACTTTCAAAAAGTCCATAAACTTTTAAATGCAGACCACCACTCTTGGTCGTCGAAAATTTCACTTAGATCGCTGCTACCGATTTGCCCATCCGCCTCCGTCACCGGAGTTCCCCGCTGTCATCATCGGACTGATCCGATGTCATCATCGGACTGATCCGATGTCATCATCGGACTGATCCGCCACCTACAATATCGATTTGATTATGCAAGAGAACTAGGGACAATTAATTATATTAATTAATTAAATTAGTGGTGAATATGTAATATTTAGTCCTATTTAAGGAAAATCACCATCAGCTTCTTCAGAAACCTCAGAACCAATCATACCTTCGGGAGATGATAATGAAGATGACTGTTTCGACATCCATCAGCTTTTCTTGATGTCACAAGTGAAAATAAAATGTTGGCCCATTTAATTATGGCCTAACTCACAACATATTTTCAATATTCATCCATGTTGTAATTGGCCTAGCCTAGCATGTTGTTGGATTGTAATAAAAAAAGAAAAAGAAAATACAAAATAAGAAAAATGAAAAGGCAATTGAAATAGAAATAAACGAAAAGAAAATGTTTTTGTCTTATACGAACACTTGTTTGATATTACTTCAAAAAGATGATCAAGTGGATGGAAAGTAAGATGTTTTATTCATATATTATCTTCTTTTTCATATTAAGTATGCTCTGCACTTGCAACTTTGTTTGACCTTATGCATCAGTAATTGTTCTGCATTTCCATTCTGCATTTATTTTTGGTTACCCATTGATCCTGCGGTGTCTTTGAATTGAGAATGCATGAAGGAAAATACTTACAAAATTGAAAAACCAATTTGATATTGAATTTCTTAAAGGAGATAAAAATTCAATCCCAGATATTATGACAAGAGAGTTTCTTCAAAACAGGAACTGATATAATTATGTATGTATTGTTTTAGATATTTAATGATTAAATTATCATTTAATTAATTATTTTCTAAAATAGAAATATAAACCTTTAATTGTGACATCAAGAAAAGGAAAAGGAAAACTTTAAACTGGGATGAAGGGAATACAAATTTATACCCCGTACTAAAATGGTGTGGACAAATACTTGAATAGATTTTTGCACCATTTATAATTTGCTATATACATAGATATAGTCAATTAGTGTCAAATGTGAAACAGGAGGCAAAAGGTAGCAACAACGTTGTTAAAAGCATGTGAAATGGTAGCCAATCAGTGGGGCTTCGAGTATCTTGTACTGATGGCTTATGAAGACGACCTGGGAGCTCAAACACTATACACTAATGTTGGCTACAAAGTTGTCTCAAAAGATCCTCCATGGTTGACCTCTTGGATTGGCCGAAGAAGACGGGTTCTTATGGTCAAAAGGTCCAATGAAGTGAACTCACTCTAATTTTTGCATGCATCAACAACTTTGTGTTGTGCTAAATGAAAGAAGGGAAAACATGTCATAAACCCAATTTAGTTTTATGATTGTTATAGTGATTGAGGAAAGTTTGTGAAGATGTTATGAATTTGACAAGAATATTCATCTTTAATTCCGATTCAACCGATTTTGAATTACTGAAATTAGTTGAATCTACCGAAATCAATGAAATTCTGATTGAAGTGGCTGAGAAATGACTAAACCTAGTGCTCTTTGGAAAAATTATATTTAAAATTTATTTTATTAATAAAACAAAGAAAAATTATATGCAAAAGATGAAAGTAATTAAGAAGGTCATCTACAATAACTTTGGTCAATTCAGTGAGAAAAGGAGAAAAGTATCTCCAACCTTGTTTATTTTGATTATAAGATGATTCAGCGCGCAAAATTAAAAATTGCCTGTTAGCTAAAAAAGTTGACTGAAAATTTTGATAAGTTGAAAGCAAGGGTTATCAAACGAACTCTTATTCTTTTGAATAATGCTTTCAACATCAATTCATTAAAATCTCTATACTAGTTTTTTACACACAGAAGCTCTCATTTTCACAAATGACAGTTTGTACATTGTAGAACGGTAGTTTTTAAGGAGATTTCCCAAAATAGGAGTAAATGAAGTTTGAAATTCCAAAATATAACTACTTTGTTTTTATTCCCAAAATGAGACTAACATGACAGTATTTACTGCCATCTTGTAGCCGTGACTGTCAAATAGTTGCAATACAGTACATTTAACATGACAATATTTATTATAATTAATGACAGTATTTTTCAATCATGGCAGTATTTTTCATTCATGACAGTAATAACTCCTATTTCGGGAAGAAAAACATACTAGTCCTGTTTTTGGAATTCCAAGTGTCATTTGCTCCTATTTTGGGTAATTTCCCTAGTTTTTAAGGCAAACAACCCCGCTATTGTTACGATTTAGGTTAAGTAAACGATAAATTAAAGAACAAGAACACAAGAATTTACGTGGTTCACACAATCGGGGTGATTGTGCTAGTCCACGGCGAACGAGAGAGAGCTGTGTATTATTATGTCGGCATCAAGGGGTATTACACGTACAAAGATGTGTTTAAATAGGTTTAAGAAAAACCTAAACAAGGATTAGAGCCGCAGGTCCAAAATTAAGCCCGTAATTAAAAAATTACTCCGCAGACCCGGTCGGGTCTCCTCTTGTACCCGGTCGGGTGTCTCCTCAAAAGGCATACCCGGATCAAAACCAGGGTGGGTATCCTAAACAGAGGCCAAAACCTTCCACGGACCCGGTCGGGTAAGCCTCCTTACCCGGTCGAGTTTCCAATCCAGAGAGTTGCCCGGCCAAAAACTGCATCATACCCGATCGGGTGACTGACCCTACCCGGTCGGGTATCTCCTGCTGGTGCAGAACCAAGGCTCCACCTTCAACAATCTCCCACTTGGAGGCTTGTTCAACAATCATCTGCCATCCAAGAACTTGTATCCTCTATAAAACCCCTGATCTCTCTCTCGTTCACGCCTTCTCATCAAGTATCTGGAAGGCCAGTTGAAGCCATGCAAAGCTTCAACTTCTCCGTTGTCACCACCTTGGTTAGCATGTCTGCTGGATTCTTCGTACCAAGGATCTTCTGCAAATTTATAGTACCATCTTCAATCAACTCTCGAATGAAATGATACCGCATTTTGATGTGTTTCGTTCTGCTGTGAAACACCGGATTCTTCGCGAGATGAATAGCACTCTGGTTGTCACAATATAGAACGCAATCTCCCTGCTTCAAGCCCAACTCCGAAAGAAAGTTCTTCAACCAGATCAGTTCCTTGGCCGCTTCAGCAATGGCCATATACTCTGCTTCCGTGGTTGAAAGAGCCACACTCTTCTGTAGTCTGGACATCCAACTGATTGAGGTGCCTCCAATAGTGAATACATACCCCGTAGTGCTCTTCCCGGAGTCATAACAGCCCCCCAAATCAGCATCGGCAAATCCTTCTAGGATTACACCATTCCTCCTGAAACATAGGGCAGTTTCAGAAGTGCCTTTCAAATAGCGCAACAGCCACTTGACTCCTTCCCAATGTTCCTTCCCTGGATTTGACATGAACCTGCTAACAACTCTCACTGCATGAGCAATGTCCGGCCTTGTTGACACCATCGCGTACATCAAACTGCCAACTGCCGATGCATAAGGAACTTTATCCATTTCTTCTTTGTCTTCATTGGTCTTTGGAGATTGCTGTTTGGAGAGTTTCAGTTGACTTCCTAACGGTGTACTCCTTGGTTTGGCATCCGTCATTCTGAACTTCTCAAGGACCTTCTGAATGTACTTTTGCTGTGAAAGCTGTAAAGTACTTTCTATCCTGTTTCTGACTATGCTCATCCCAAGAATCTGTCTCGCTTCCCCTAAATCCTTCATAAAAAATTCTTCTGACAACTTCTTCTTAAGCTTGTTGATCTCCTGCATATTTGCTCCAGCCACCAACATGTCATCAACATACAAAAGAAGAATGATGTATGATGACTTGAATTTCTTCAAGTAACAGCAATGGTCCATCTTGCATCTAGTGTACCCATTCCGCTACATAAAACTATCAAACTTCAATTACCACTATCTAGCAGCTTGCTTCAATCCGTATAGACTCTTCTTGAGTTTGCACACCAATTTCTCCTTACCACTCACTGGGAACCCTACTGGTTGAGCCATGTAAATGTCTTCTTCAAGGTTGCCATGAAGAAAAGCAGTCTTTACATCCAGCTGCTCCAATTGCAAATTTTCAGCAGCAACAATACCAAGGATCAACCTGATAGTAGTCATCTTCACAACCGGAGAGAAGATTTCATTGAAATCAACCCCCTTCTTCTGTTGGAACCCCTTGACAACTAACCTCACCTTTTATCTTTTGCTCCCATCTGCTTCATCTTTGATTCTGAACACCCATTTGTTCTCCAAAGCTTTCTTTCCTGGTGGTAGCTTGATTAAGGACCAAGTTTGGTTCTTGTCAAGTGAATCTAACTCATCCTCCATGGCCTTCTTCCACTGTATGGAATCTTTCACGGTCAGCGCCTCTATGTAAGATTATGGCTCTCCATTCTCGGTCAGCAACAGATAATTTGCTGAAGGAGAATATCTGTTAGGAGGTCTTCTGTTTCTAGTGGACTATCTGATGTGTGATGTAGCTGCCTCCGAGCTCCCACTATCTTCGTCACTCCCACTATCTTCAGAAATTCTTGTATCTCCTGAGCTCCCACTGCTCCCTAAGCCTCCAGCCATGTCATCACAACCAACAGGTTGCGCTATGTCGTCTTCAGTCATCCCTTCAAACACCACTTGCTGTTTGTTTTCTGGTTGCTTGCCTTTGCTAGTATCTGCTGCAAGATCATATTTATACAGGGCATTCTCGTTGAAGGTGACATCTCTACTTCTGATAACCTTCTTGTTGTGGTTGTCCCAGAACCTGTAGCCCATGCCATCCAGCCCGTACCCAATAAAGATACATTTCTTTGCCTTTTCCTCGAGCTTGTCACTATCTGCATCTCTAACTTTGACATAAGAAATACAACCAAAAACTTTCAAGTGATTAAGAGATAGCTCACGACCTTTCCATTCCTCCTCTAGAATTTTGAACCCTATGGGAGATGAGGGTCCTCTGTTGATCAAGTACGCTGTTGTGTTCACCGCATCGGCCCAGAACATCTTTGGAAGTCCTGCATGCAATCTCATGCTTCTGGCCCTCTCATTCAGTGTTTTGTTCATCCTCTCTGCAACACCATTATGCTGTGGTGTTTCTCGAACCGTCTTCAGCATTCTTATCCCCTGTTCAGCACAATACTCTACAAACTCTGTGCTACTGTACTCACCTCCATTATCACTCTTTAAACACTTAATCTTAAGATTAGTTTCATTCTCAACTGTAGCTTTGAACTTCTTAAAAGTGTTAAAGACATCAGATTTATTTTTGAGAAAATAAACCCATACCTTCCGTGTAGAGTCATCAATGAATGTAACATAGTAGCGGGAACCTCCAATTGAAGAGACCTTTGTAGGTCCGTAGACATCTGAATGAATCAACTCCAGCCGTTCAGTCTTGGGTTGTTGCCCTGTCTTCACAAAGGTTACCCTCTTTTGTTTGCCAAGTACACATGGCTCACAAAAGCTCAACTTTGAATTCTTCAAATCTGGGATTTTGCCCTTTGAAGACAGCATCTTCATTCCATTCTCACTTATGTGCCCAAGTCTTTGGTGCCACAAAGTAGAGACCCCTGCATCTTCAACTGATGCGTTTGCTCCATTTGTAGACACTTCTACCATGTATAGTGTACCATGCTTCTGTCCACGAGCAATGACCAACTTTCCCTTTGTCACCTTCCATTGCTTGTTGCCAAAACTAACGTTACGGCCTTCCTCATCAAGCCGTCCCACTGAGATCAACATCTTCTTCAGGTCTGGAATATACCTGACATTTTTTAGCCTCCAGGTTGTACCCAAAGTGGTACTGAGATTAACATCCCCAATACCCGTGATCTCCAGGGATTTGTCATCCGCCAAACGAACTCTTTCGCTGTAGGGCCTGAAATTTTGCATCAAATCTCTGCAATGACAAGCATGAAACGACGCACCTGAATCCATGATCCAGGACTCAATTGAATTCTCAACGCTGCAAATTAGAACATCTTCATAATCCTCTGCCACGTTTACCTCCTTCTTGCCTTTGTCTGCAGAGGCTTTTGGGCACTGATTTCTGAAGTGTCCATTCTCCTTGCAATTCCAACAATTGATGTCCTTCATGTTCTTGGATTGACCTCTCTTCCTCGACTTTGATCTTCCTTTCTTGTTACCTCCTTTAGCGGATTTTCCGCCCATATCTTCAGTACTCAACAAACTGTTGGAGCTATCCCCCGAACTCCTCCTCCGGATATCCTCACCAAGGATCAAGTCACGAATACCCTCAAAGGTAAGCTTAGTGGTTCCAGCCGAACTACTAACTGCTGTGAATGTACCGGACCAACTATCGGGCAAAGATGATAACAAAAGTAATGCTTGAACTTCATCATAAAATTTAATCTCAACCGAACCTAACATGGATATGATTGAATTAAACTCGTTGACGTGATCTGTTATGGCTGCACCTTCCTTCATTCTCGTGTTCACCAACTGTCTGATTA